CCCCTGCTCGTTCCCTTCCTTAGGCGACTCGCGGCGCCCGGGTTTCCCGCCGCGAGACCCGCTGCTGGACTTGGAACACTCGGTGCCGAATATATCGGATAAGGATATCTCCGAGCCGAGTTCCGAACCATAGTGCGACTCGGCATAGTGCGACCCGAACTCGCTCGCGCGATCATCGCGATCATCCCGATCGTCCAGATCTTCTCCCTCCTCGTCCTCCGATGATCCGTACGGATCGTCCGCCCCCTCCGCGATCGACGGGATTTCGCTCAGCGGCGGGGAGGGCAGATCGCGACTCGGCTTGCGGGAAGTGCGGCGATGGCGGGGGCCATCAGGAGCAGCAGCAGCAGGAGAAGCGACAGCGGCGGAAGCGGCAGCGACGGCGGAGGCTGCGGCAAGAGCCAGCGCGGAGTTGCTTCGGCTCTCCCGTCCGCGCGACGAGCTCCAAACGGTGCCGCCGCCGCCGCCGCCGCCCGGTTCGTGTGCGCCGCGAGGACTATCAAGCCCGTCTTCCTCCGTGAAACACGGCGCGTCTGACGTTGCGGAAGAGTATCTGGAATCGATCGACGACATGCGATCGTGGCCGGCCGTCGGATTATGCTTCGCTATAAAGTTCCCGATAGCGTCGCACGCGGAGGAGGAGGAGGGAGAGGAGCCGCCCAGAGGGCTAAACAGAAAATCGTTATCGCTCGCGGCGCCGTCAGCGGCACCAGCGCCGCCAGCGCTGCAGCCACTGCAACTTCTATGGCTGCCGTGGCCGAAGCGGCTCAGCGCGCTTGTCCCGCCCGGTCCCGCTCTTCCGCCTCCGCTTCCGCCCGTTCCGCCGTATTTCCCAGGGCTCCCTTCCCGTTCCGCTTGTCCGTATCCGCCCTTCGTGCCTCCCGCAGCCGTACCGCGGGGCCTGATTCCCACTCCCCCGCCACTGCCAGTGCGCGCGAACATGCGCGCGCGGGGGCTCCCCGGAAGGCTCCCCCCGCTCCCGCCGCTTTCCGCGCCGCCGTTGTTGATGATCGTGCGCCGCCCGTTGGCGGCAGCGGCGGAGAGGAGTCCGCGTTGACGGGGGCCGCCGCTGACGGCGGGGCTGGCGGCGCTGCTCGGGGTGGCGCAGGGGGAAGGGCTTGCGGAGGGATCACCCCCCGCGCTCGCGCCTGCGGACGCGGCGGCATCGGCAGAGAGATCGGCGCAGAAGGCGGGAGCGTGGTAGGAAGACAGGGCGGAGCCGCCGGAAGCGGAGGAAACTGCGGAGGAGCACGAGGAGGAGGAGAATCCTGACGTCGACGGGTCGCGCGTGTGCAGAAACGTCGAAGCGGGCGATTCGGGCGGCACCCCCTGGTTGGCGCTCTCAGGGTGATGCGGAGATGGCGGAGAGAGCGGGCCGTAAGCGGTGAATCCGCCGCCGCCGCCGGCGGCACCTTTCGCGACGGTCAAAGCGGAGGGAAGGCGGGAGCCGGGGGGCGCGTGAAGACCGACGGAGCCGAGAGCACCTCCGCCTCCGCCTCCGCCTCCGCCATATGCCTGCGTGACGGCGTGCAAGGCCTTGCGCGAGAAGGAGGTGACTCGCGGGGAGGGGCGCGAGTCGCTGTGCGCGGCCGGTTCCGGCATGGCTGCCGCGCGGAGGATGTATTAGGAGTTTATTAACCTCCTAATGAGCGCGGTTCGGAAGCTTGACACTGCAGGGAGTCGCTTTCAAGGATGGTTTTTTATCAGGGTCGTTGCTGCTGGAGCAGGCCGACTAAGAGCCGTGTGTGTGTGAGTGAGCGCACACCGTTTGGGAAAAATAAGGGAGAACGAGACGCTGCGACGGCGACGGCGACGGCGAGACGGTCAAAGAAAAGACATTACATGCTGTCGTCGCGAGCTGGCGGCGCAAGCTGTTCGTACACCCGTTTCATTTCCGCGACAATGGCTTGCTATCGTGTCACGCTGCTATGTCCTGCTAGTACTAGCTTCGTGCCAGCTCAAGAAAAAGAAGTCGTCGAGAAGAAGTACAGTGCAATGGGAAAAACCGGACCGTACTGCGAGAGACATGAATACCTCGGTGTTTCCACTCTCTTCCTCCAATAACGACTAGCCGGGCGGGAGGAGCACGGCAACAGACGTGAACGTCCCTGCGGGGTTCCCGTTCCCGCGCGACCGCAAGAAGCGTCCTCCGCGTTTTGACCCGCCACACCGGCGCGGTGGCCATTGCGGTTTCTCCAGCGCGGCAAATCCGACCCGACGCGACTGAACTCGACTGCGACCCGATTCGACGACAAACGGAATCCGTTAACGGTGGGAAGGAAGGCGACTATTGACTCATGAGCGACCTAAACCAAGCCTGAAGCTAGGAGCAGGGAGGAGGCGGAAGCGAGGGTCGCTGGGTGTGGGAACCCACTGCGAGTGCTGCAGCGAAGGTGCGTTGGCAGCGAGGCTAGCGCGCGGCTTGATGAGGACGCTGACTCGGAAGTCGGGGCTCGATGCGGTTGCATCAGCCAAGGGGCGTCGCTGTTGTCGGCGACGCACCATCGCTGCCGCCATTGCCGCGGCGCGCTCGACTTGAGTGGTGGTGCTGTGATGCCTCGACTTCCTCTAGCGACTGCCATATGACGGCCAGACGGGATTTTTTGCGTCACGTTTCGTAGAATCCGTTACATAACAGCGGATCGCTGTAGCTATCGTGACACCGTGCACGCACATATAGTCGACCCTCCTCGTCACAGAAATCTCTAACGGCCAGTGGCCGTCTAGCCGTCAGTGTTACCGTGTATGGAGGTCGTTGCGAACGGCAGAGACAGATGTTCTAGAGGGGAAGTACTGGTACACCTGGTCCGCGGTATTTTAACCGCCGGTATCGTAACCAAGTTTGTCGGCACGCTGGGCGTTTCTTGTTGGGTGGCCAGAAATCGCTGTTCACACTTGACCGAACCAAGTTGTAGATTGCCAAGCCTTTTTTTGATATTTCAGCTGGCGCCGTCCACGTGGCAAGCAAATTTCCCCAACCGAATTTTCCAAAAAGAATCGACACCGTCGATGGTTTTACTTTCCCGACTCTGGAACATTCCAGATGGCGAAAAGAGCCGAATTGCTCCTTTTGAGTAGTGCTGTCAAAACTTGCCATGCTGTTCAGATATTTGGTGGTGAAAATAATGACCGAAATTTTGCACCCTTATCTTCACCACGGCCAGATAATCCAAAATCCTGCTACCCATTTTCGCGCGGTTAAAATACCGCGGACCAGGTGTAGTAGTGCCATCACTGCACTCCACACAGTTTTGCCATGGTTGTGCTTGATTCAACCATGGCGCAGCGCAACTGCGCAGTGCCGACGGTTGGAACTGCCTGCTGCAAGGGTTGGAGGAGGAGAACTGCAGCGAGCGCTTCGTCTCGTTCTCCCGCGATATTTTGGTAATCGGGCAGATTTTTCGTACTAGCTCAGTAGCTCAGGTGGAAAAATACCAATGCCATATTCATGAGCATTTATAGTTTGTGTAGGTGATGTGTTTGAACTTTGATCTCCTGCATCCATTTGTCAAACCCGAATTCTTGTCAAGCCTACCCTATATTACCCTCTCAAATGAGACAACCTTGGGGGTTATAGATAAATTGGATGGACCTGCTGTTGCGAAAGCAAAGCTCCCGCCACAATATCGTCGAGTGCATCATGGTCAGAGGTGGATAGGTTGCGGAGGTTGCGGAGCTTCGCCTCTCAGGGAAATTGTCCATGCCATGCAAAGACTGCATACACAATATTGTAACTCTCGTTAGCCAAATACAATCTCAATTGTTTTGTACTAGTGAATGTAAATAACAAGATGTATTTGTTTGTGCTTTTGGGTGAACCCAGGAGGAAATCAGGCCCCCTTTCCCACGCCGAACCACTGAGAGCACGTGGTAACACGAGGCTTACGGTTAATCCACTCCCATCCTCTCGTTAGATAACAAGATGTAGGGCTGCACACGTCTGATCTGTATATACATACCATGTACTATGACAGTTATCAGCACAGCACAGTCTACATGGCTGTTGGCGATGCCACCAATAAAGGTTTTGTGCGAAAGGGTCACCACCAGCAACCACTGTTTCCAGGCGCTGGTTGACGCGACACCTTGCGTCATTGTGGCGACTGACATCAGCAAGTTCCGAAGTCATTGGGAATGGGGCTTTCTAGTGAGGTGTCAACATCCTCTTGACTTCTCCACCAATAAAGCTCATTGGGTGCAGTTTCTCATCCCAATCACGTTTCTGCTTCGACCGAACAGATTATTGACAGGGAATTTGGATCGAAAGTGTTGGACGGAGGATACATCCATTGGGGCTGGGAACGGGCCCTTCCGCTGAGGTGTTGTTTTCAACCTTCCCTCCAATAAGTCATCATCCCAGTTTCCGTTGTTGCTTTCGCCATGGTAATCGCCATCGCACACAGCCTAGGAAACACCCATTCAAAGGAACGATGGCTCCTGAAGCAACGCGTTCCATGCAGCGACTCCTGTCGCAACGCTCGCACATGGCCACGGCGTTGCTGCGCCAGTCGCGAGCTGCGTTCCGTCCCGTCGCAGAGGTCCTTCCGGCCTAACACAGAACCTCTGGAAACCGGGCCCTTCTTGCGAGGTTCTTGACTGATCCTCCAATAAATCACGATTCGTTCTTGCTTTCGCACACAGCCAGGAAACGCCCTATCGAAGCCCACGATGGCGCCTAAAGCAACGCGTTCCTTCCGGCGACTCCTGTCGCAGCGGTCGCACATGGCCAAGGCCTTGCCCCGTCGCGGGCCGCGTCCCGCCACAGAGGTCCCTCCAGCCTCGCACAGAAGCTCCGTGTAGCGCGTGATGCGCCGCACGCTAGTAGGCTAGCTGCGATGCCCATTTAAGTACCCGTGCCCGATCGTTCTCGTCACCTCTTCTGCTTTACCAGTTTGCACCAATCACCCCTCTAGCACCTCTTTCTCTCGGGTTGCTCCGCTGCACACTCCTGCTCCACTCCTACTCTCGGATTGCTCGTGGCGATCAAGGTCGAAGAGCGAATGGCGTCCGCCGGAAGCGGCAGCATGGGGAATGGCAAGGCCGTGCGTGCGCTGCTCGCCATCGTCGCCGTCATCGCCGGTACGCTCCGTCATTCGCTCCGCTCTCTCGCCGCGTGCTCTCATGCGCCATCGTGCACACGCCGTCATGCGTTCAATGCACCACACGACAGCGCGCACACGCGATGGATGCCCAACGAACTCGCCCCTTCGTCCGTGCCCCTCATGTGTCACATGCCCCTCTCTTGCAGCGTGTCTCCTGCAGCCGTCGCAAGCAGCAGCGAGCGTATCGGTCCTAGTGCCGATTGGCACGACGATGGTGATCAACGGGCGCGCATTTTCCTTCTCGTCGCGCCGCTGTGTCAACCTTCCTGCCATGTCGCCTTCTCAGACGACGCGGGTGGTGGTGCCGTGGAAACTAGCAAGCACGTCTGGCAAGGCTGTGTGCCGCGCGATCCGGTTCTTCCAGGATCCCGCGTGCAAAGGACAGACGTTGGACGGCGTTTTCACGAGTGGCCAACAGAGGTGCGCCTTCCATTCTTGCTCGCCTTGCTTCCATGCTCGTATGCTCTTGATGCTGCTCGTTTCTCTCCCCCACCTGACCAACGATTGTTAAACTCGTGGCGCCCTCCCCCTGAGAAGTATATCTCCGGTAAAGCGAGGTCCGCTCTCTGCCTCATTGGTGCGTCCCCACTTGCCTTGCCCCGCCCGCCTCTCCTCCTTTTTGCTCTCTCTCTCTCTCTCTCTCTCTCTCTCTCTCTCTCTCTCTCTCTCTCTCTCTCTCTCTCTCTCTCTCTCTCTCTCTCTCTCTCTCTCTCTCTCTCTCATGGTCCGTGTATTAGTTGAAGGATGGTCTCGTTGCTGCAACTCTCTCCTCTGCTCCTGCTCTCTCTGAATGATTCCCTGTCCGGATGGACCCATGTGCTCACCTGCCCTCTCTCCCTCTCCTTGCATGTGCTGCAGAACGCTCGTGCCTCACTACAGGCTGCCCTGCTAACGCCGAGTGTGCCAGACGCACAGGTGGCACTGAAATGGAGTGCAAGTGCAAGTCGGGCTACAATGCAGTCGGTGGCTCCTGCGTGCCAGCAGCAAAATCCGGCACCTCCACAGCTACGTCCGGCACCACCACAGCTACGTCCGGCACCACCACAGCTACGTCCGGCACCACCACAGCTACGTCCGGCACCACCACAGCCACGTCCGGCACCACCACAGCTACGTCCGGCACCACCACAGCCACGTCCGGCACCACCACAGCTTCGACCACCACAACACCTTCAAGCGACGCTTCAGAATCTTCCAGCAACGTTGCAGAGTCTTCAAGCGACATTTCAGATTCTTCCAGCGACGCTTCAGGACCTTCCAACTACGTGTCAGATATTCCTCCTAGCTACGTTTCAGACTCTTCCAGCAACGCGTCAGATTCTCCTATCTACACGTCAGAATTTCCCATCTAAAATCCAGAGCCTTCCAGCGGCAACACCGTACCTTCCTATTCCTATTACTCGAGCCAAGCCAAATCAGTCGCCACATCTGAGAAGAGTTGAGGGACGTAGCGACAGGGATTGTTTGCTGTTGCTGTTCTTCTCATACAGGTTTAAAAGGCAGTTTGTGAACGGTTCTGGAGGTAGGGCATTGAGCAGGCGCCAGGAAGGGTAGCTGGCAAGTTCAAGGAGGGGTAGAAGCAACCAAGCTGGTAGCAGCACTGCATGTTATCAGACGCTCCCTGTCTGGGCTGGTTTAGATTTCTCATGTTCTCTACGCACCTCCTCCCCTTTCCCCCCCTCCCTCCTCCCCCACCTTGTTTTCTCTTTCCTGGTTTGTTGTAATCTTTGTTTAATCTGGGAAGACCATCTGATGCGAATTTCCAATTTCCACTATCTATAGGTCAGGGCTTAGCTTCGTAGCAATTCTACACATGTGGTTTCACATTTTGGCGATTGTTGCCATACGTTTATAAGCATGGTTTTAGTGTAGATGCTTGGCTTAGCTCAGCCTCACAGCCAAGCCAAGCCTTTCGCCATTGGTCGAGCTTCGTGGCATGGATGGGGTGGGTTGGGGAGGGGAAGATGATTGTGTGTGTGGGGAGGGAGGGACCGTCCCCTTACAGATTTGGAGGGCCATGCACCTTGGGATTTGTTGGTTGGTGGGTGGCTGGTTGGACAGGTCGCCTAGGTCCTGGGTTCAGGGGGGAATTTTCAAGTCCCAGCTCCGCTCCGCCCCTCCCCCCCGCTCCCAGCTCCGTTACTTTCGCCGCCTTCCTACGCACCGCACCCATCTTTCCCTCTCCCTCCCGCTCTCCGCTCCTCTCTCCCCTCCCCGCCCCCTCCCCCACTCCCTCCCCTCTCAATTCGCACACTCCACAGCCACACAAGTCCATCCATCAATCACCAGCAGCCGAAATTCCCTCCGCTCCGCTCCGCTCCCGCACTCCGAAATTCCCTATGCTCATGTACCTGCGCATCGAACTTGGCCGCGCATCCGCATCAGTGTGATCCATGATACAATTTGCTATCGTGTGCTAGCAATTGTGTGAGGAGGAAGCATTGAACAATCAGGCTCAGTCGCCGCCATTGACCCTCATTCTACCGTTTTGCCGCAGCAATTTTCCATCCGAAAATTTCCCGAACGAGGCAGTGCAATTCGAGCAGCGTGGGATCAATGCTCAAGCATCGAGGGTCGCCAAATTAGTAACGACCAATCGAGATCCAGCTGCGTGGGATCAATGCTCGAGACTGGAGTGTGATCGAACTCTAGCATTTACCTGCCTGGTTCCCTTCGAGGCGGCCATCTCACGTCTTTGCGTAAGGAACGGCGGACTCATTCCGAACGCGCCGATGACCGCGTTTCCGTGACCTGCCAGTCAAGGTCCGTCCGTGCTGTCACCATTTCGACCGTTCGATTCCGTCGTGTTTTCTTTCCCTTAGGGTTGCTGGTAGCCACCCTCAGATCGCATCCGTGCACGCATTGTGAGAGACCAGCTACGGCAAAGATTGTTCAGACGATCTCTGCGGCGGCGCATTGATTGACCCGTGAATCTGATCCGTTCTGCGTCTCGGTCATGCGCCTTACTTTGGCACTTGCCAGCATTTCATCATACTCCAGGATGGCAGATGTCGTTATACTTCAGTTCCGGTGCTCATTCTGTCTTCTCCATTTCAATCAACCAACCACAGTTCTTTATCCAATGTCCGGTTTTCCAGTCCTCTCCTCCCTTTCGCACCCACACTCCCCACTTCCTTTTACCTCGTGAACGCAGTAAAAGGAGGAGCTTCAAGGCAGCAGCCCTTTCGTGGTTCAGTGTGCGGAGATCGCCCTACTGCTCACTGCTTGTGCTCTCTTGAGATGGGTAGGAGCAACAACCGCGTCTTGCCCCGGGCAAGAATAAACGGGGCCTCCTGCTAATGCACCAGCAACACCAGCAGCAACCGCAGCAAAAAGTAGCGCATTAGCACCCGCACACCTTCATCAAGAGCCTTTTTCCTCTTAAGGATACGCGCGCGCGACCGTATTCCCCTTCACACCCTCGCGATACCATCAGCTTGGCCCGTTGCGCCTTCTTTCCCCGCATCCCACGCACAAACGTAACCTACGCGCGCCATCATGGCCCCCGCTTTCCCGCGCGGGCCTTCCGCATCCGCTCCGGAAATCGAGGAGGAGGGAAGCGCGCTGCGACCTGTCGAACCCAGGACCGGCGCATCTACTAGCGCCGTCGTCGGCGGCGCCACCGGCGGCGCTACCGCCGCCGGGGGCGGCGCAAGCGGGGTTAGCGGAGTGGTTGCGGCGGAGACGAAAAGGGGGAGGCTGCGGAAACCAGGGCGGAGAGATTTGGGGGATAGCAGCGCTGGGGAAGAGTCGGAGGGGTTTTTGAGCGGAAAGGAGGATGGGGGGGAAGGGCGGGGGTTGCTGAAGGGCATTCTGAAGCGCGGTGGTGGGGGGAGTCAGGGGGGGGGAGGGAGTGTGGGGGGAGGGAGTGTGGGGGGAAGCGGAAGCGGAGGAAGGTTCGGGTCGAGTTTGTCAGAGGAGGAATGGAAGGAGTATTTCAAGAAGAGCCTTACGGAGATTTTCATGGGGTCGAAGCTTAACGTGCTGATGCCGTTCATTGTGATCTCCATTGTGTGCGTGCAGCTGGAAGTGTCGCAGGTAATTGAGGGTGTGGGGGCTTAGGATCCTGGTTTTGAGGCGCCTCAAAACTAGCTGAACGTGCTGATGCCGTTCATTGTGATCTCAATTTCGCAGGTAATCGTGGAGTTGTAGGAGGTATAGGATACATAGGGGGCATAGGATAGGAGTAATAGGAGCAATAAGAGTCACAAGAGTGATGGGACTGATCGGAATTCTAGGAGTGGTAGGAGTCACTAGACTAGTCAAAGTAACAGGAATACCAGATGCTGTATGAGGAATTGGAATGAGGAGTAATCGGTGCAATTTAGGAGTCATAGCAGGAGGCACAAAAGTCACGGGAGTAATCGGACTGATAGGACTTACAGAAGTCATTGCTAGTTCATTAGGAATGGTGGGCAACGGCCATATTTTGGGGCCTTTCTCGAGGAGCATGGGTCGAGGGAAAGAGAGGCCGTCATTCAAAAGTTGCCAGAATACTGGGTATGGGATTGGGGATAATACTGTTGCTCAGTAGTGCCTCTTGCTCCATATCTCCCTGCCGCAAGCTGGTACCCTTCACTCTACTCAACCTGTGCTTTCCCCTTTCCTCACCCCTCCCACTCCCCGTCTCTCGCCTCCCCATGTCGTCAGGGCTACATATTCCTCTTTTCTCTCCTTGGGATTGCTCCCTTGGCTGAACGGCTAGGATATGTCACCGAGTGAGTCATGGCATGGGATGACATGGGATGACATGTCATGGCATGGCATGGCATGGGATGTCATGGGATGGCATGGCATGGCATGGCATGGCATGGCATGGCATGGCATGTCATGGGACGGCATGGCATGGCACTATATGGCATGGCATGGTGGGGCATGGCACAATATGGCATGGCATGGCGGGACATGGCACGGTATGATATGGCATGCATGGCATGGCACAGTATGGTATGGCATGCGCTGGGTCGTAGGAATATAAGTATGTGGTCCTATGGTGGGAGAGTATAGGTATAGGCGTAACAATAATGCTGGCGGCCTAGGTTTCTGGTTGCCTCTTGCTTTCAATCAGCGATCTGAATTGCAATCTGAATGCCGCTTTTTGTGACTCTTTGGCATTGCAAAGTCAGCCCTCTTTCTCCTCTGCATTGATGTGCATGCAAATCGTATGTATGCATGAGCTGTCTGTGTGCATGCATCTGTATGTGTGTGTGTGCGTGCGTGCGTGTGTGTGTGTGTGTGTGTGTGTGTGTGTGTGTGTGTGCGTGCGTGTGTGTGTGTGTGTGTGTGTGCATGTCCTTTCCATGTGGTCCTGTGCATGGTTCTCCGTCCCCTCTGCCTCACATCTCAGGCAACTCGCACTCTACACTGGTCCAACTTGTAAGACCCGTCACCCCCTCCCTCTTCCTCTCCCGCCTCTCGTCCACTCTCCTTTCTCGGCTCATGTCTGTGCCCCCATATCTTGCCATTTAATCCCTGTCTTCATCGTCCCCTCTTTTCCTCGCATCCCCCTCCCTCCCTCTCCCTCCCTCGCCCACCCTCTCTCACCACTCCCTCTCCTGCTCCCTCCCGTTCCCTCTCCCTGTTTCACCCTGATCCTTCTTTCGTCTTTCCAGGATCTCCCACCTACCTACGTTCTATCCATTCCTCCATCCCACCCCAACCCGCATCACCTCCATCCCTCTCCCCCCAATCTTCACTCTCTTTGCCTTGCGCACACACACGCACACACACCCCTCCCCCTCTCCCCCCCTCCTTCCCCCCTTCCCCCCCACCACCCGCCCCTCCTTCCTTTCCCCACCAGTGGGCGTGCTGTTGAACGCAACAGAGCTGATCATAAGCGTGTTTGAGCTGCGCAGCTGCTCTCTCACCCACGCCCCCCTTCCCTCCCCCCGTTCCCCCCCCACCGCCCTTTCCCTCACCCGTCCCCCCTCCTCCTCCTCACCCCACCAGTGGGCGGGCTGCTGAACGCCACGTTTGGCAAAGCGACAGAGCTGATTATCAGTATGTTAGCGCTGCGCAACTGCTCTCTCACCCTCCGGCCCCCCTTCCTCTCCCCCTCTCCCTCCCACCCTTCCTCTCCCCCTCTCCTTCCACCCTTCCCTCCTCCTTTCCCCACCAGTGGGCGGGTTGCTAAACGCGACCTTTGGCAACGCGACAGAGCTGATCATCAGCGTGTTTGCGCTGCGCAACTGCTCTCTTTCCCAAACTCCAACCTTCCCCCCCCACTCCCTCCCTCGTTCCCCCTCCTCCCACCGCCACCAGTGGGCGGGCTGCTGAACGCCACCTTTGGCAACGCAACGGAGCTGATCATCAGCGTGTTTGCGCTGCGCAACGGCATGATCCGCGTGGTGCAGCTGTCGCTGCTGGGCTCCATTCTCTCCAACATGCTGCTTGTGCTCGGCTGTGCCTTTTATGCCGGAGGGCTGCGCTACCGCGAGCAGAAGTTCAACAAGGTTGGTGGGTGGGTGGGTGGGTGGGTGGGTGGGTGGGTGGGGGAGGGAGAGAGGAAGAAGTGAAGGGTAAACGGTCGGGGGAGAAAGAGAGGTGAAGGGCAAACAGGCGGGGAGGGAGAAAGAGGCGCATGCGAGCAGGTGAAGGAGAGGGAAAAGAGAGGCGAAGGGCAAGCAGGCGAGGGAGAGGGAAAAGCAAGGCAAAGGGCACAACACAAACACGCGGAAAGGAAAACCATGTACTGGCAGTCAGAAGAAGTTGAACAAGTTCACATGGTTCCCTTCCGTTCCCTTCCTTTTTTGTGGAGGAAACGTGCTTTCACAACTCATCTTTTTTTTTACAATCCTACCCACCCATCACCACAACCCTCCACATACAATACAACCATTCCATGTCTTTTTTTTTATAAGCTTCGGGCAAGCACACTTTCGCACCTCCCTCCACCTTCTGCCTCTCCTTCCCCAGACTGCTGAGCTCCGCTGAACTTCCAACCATAAACAAACCCCAAACCTGAAATTCATTATGCGAATTCTTAAACCCGAAACCCAAGAACTAAGCACGTATTAAGCGCTTCCAGTCCAGCACACGACTTTTGAGACTGTCCGTATCACGGATCGATCTGACGCCCCCCATCCTCCTCTACTTGCCCTGGCCTGGCCGGACACTTGGGTTCTTTCTTTCAAAGGCCTACTGGTTCCACAGAGCCCACTTCCCAACCCTCTCGCATCCCCTCCTCTCCCTGTCCCTCCCTCCTGCCATGCCTACCTCTCTTCCCCCTCCGTCCCCGCTCCCTCCCCATCCCCCCTTCCCCATACTTCCTTCCTCTCCACCGTCCTTCCACCATCTCCATGATAGCCTCTCGTTTGAACCCACCTCCACCACTCTACCCTTCCCCCTCCCGCCCCGCTCTCCACACCCTCCCCCCGCCCTCACACCTCTCCCCTTCTCCCTCCTCCCTCTCCCCGCTCTCAGACAGCAGCACTTGTTAATTCAGGGCTGCTGCTGATGGCAGTGATGGGGCTGGCCCTACCCGCCATCCTGCACTCCACACACACCGAGATCCGAGACAACGACTCAGAGCTCGCTCTTTCCCGCATCAGCAGCTGCATCATGCCCTCTACAGTCTCCTTCCGCTCCAACCCACCTCTTTCATTCCCCCTCCTCCTTCCCCCCCCACCCCCCACATACACCTCTCCCCCCTTCTTCCCCCTCCCGCTTCCCCCCTTCCCCATCCCCCTCCCCCTCCCCTCTCCCCATCCCAGACGGCAGCACTGGTGAATTCAGGGCTGCTGCTGATGGCAGTGATGGGGCTGGCCCTACCTGCCATTCTCCACTCCACACACACGGAGATCCGAGACAACGACTCGGAGCTCGCTCTTTCCCGCATCAGCAGCTGCATCATGCTCGCAGCCTACGGTGCATACCTCTACTTCCAGCTCAAGTCCCACGTGCATCTGTATGATGAGAACGCGAGCGGGGATGCAGCAGGGAGTGCGAAGATGGGCAAAGCGGCGGTGATTGGCACGTGCAATAGTCCGAGAATGAAGATGGTGCACCCGGGGGCGACCACGATCGCCAGCCCAAGGGTGGGTGGGTGGGTGGGGTGGGGATGGAGGGGGTAAGTGAGGGATTTTTTAGTCGACTGAGGGATCGAGGCGGCGGTGATTGGGACGTGCAATAGTCCACGGATGAAGATGGTGCACCCGGGGGCGACCACGATTGCCAGCCCAAGGGTGGGTGGAGGGAGGGAGGGAGGGAGGGAGGGAGGGAGGGAGGGAGGGAGGGAGGGAGGGAGGGAGGGAGGGAGGGAGGGAGGGAGGGAGGGAGGGAGGGAGGGAGGGGAAGAGGGGAAGAAGGGAAGACATGCACGCCTGGAGAAGGGGGGAAGTAGTTCCGACTGCTGCTTCCCACTTGGTCTGCTGCGGTCATGTTTCAGAGCAAAGTGGCTTCTTCTCCACGCTCTTTCCACACCAATCCCATGCATCAACTCTTCCCTCCACCCCCCCCGTTCCCTTCCCGTTCCCCTGGTCCCCTCCATTCCCCCCGCTCCCTTCCCGTTCCCCCACTCCCCTCCATTTCCCCGCTCCCCTCCATCCCCCCCGGCTCCCATCCATTCCCCCGCTCCCCTCCATCCCCCAAGTCCCTCCACACCCCTCCACACCCGTCCCACTCCCCCACCCCCCCACTTCAACCATCCCACGGTCCAGCAGGACCCGGAGGTGGGCAAGGAGGACGACGAGGAGGACGACGAAGAGGAGGAGGTGCTGGGGCTGTGGGGGTCCATTGTGTGGATGGTCATCGTCACCATTCTCGTTCCCTGCAATATTGCTGCCCTCCATTCCCATCCCCTGTTCGCCCCCATTCCCCTGCTCCCTGCCCATTCCCCCGCTCGCCTCCCATATCCTACTCCGATTCCCCACTAACCTCCCATCCCCCGCTCCCAATCGCACACCGCTCCCACCCCTCCTACTCCAACCAACCCCACGCTAGCAGGACTTGGAGGTGGGCAAGGAGGACGACGAGGAGGAGGAGGAGGAGGAGGTGCTGGGGCTGTGGGGGTCCATCGTGTGGATGGGCATCGTCACCATCTTCATCGCCATCCTCTCTGCGTACCTCGTTGATGCCATTGAGGTGCGTGCCGGGAGTGTGTAAAGTAAAGTAGGGGTGATTGCTTCAGTCGACTCGAATGGGCATCGTTGCCATTTTCATTGCCATCCTCTCTGCTTACCTCGTTGACGCCATTGAGGTAGGAATGCCGAGCGTGTTAAGTAGGGGGCGACTTGTTTAAGTTGACTTAGAAGGGCGTTGGCACAGTCGTCATCGCCCTCTCTGCATACCTCGTTGATGCCATTGAGGTGTGTGCCGGGAGTGTTAAGTAGGGGCGACTTGTTTGAGTTGACTTATAAGGGCGTAGGCGTTGACACATCGTTGCCATCCTCTCTGCATACCTCGTTGATGCCATTGAGGTGCAGCTGGGCGTAACGTGTGTGGCACTCGTGGGGTGGAGGAGGAGGAGGGGTTTGTTTGGGGGGCAAGCTTGGGGTTGTGGAGGTGTGCTAAGACATAGGTAGGCATGTGTTGGCATGTGTTGGCATGTGTTGGCATGTGATGGCATGTGTTGGCATGTGTTGGCATGTGATGGCATGTGTTGGCATGTGTTGGCATGTGTTGGCATGTGATGGTATGTGTTGGCATGTGTTGGGATGTGTTGGCATGTGATGGCATGTGTTGGCATGTGTTGGCATGTGTTGGCATGTGTTGGCATGTGTTGGCATGTGTTGGAGTGTGATGCCTGGGGCCTGGGACATACTCATGGTGATTGTCACTTCCCTTTTTTTAGTTTGGTTTAGTTTAGTTTAGTTTGTTAGTTAGTTAGTTTGTTTGTTTTTTTTTATCTCACTTTCCCTATTTTTTATGTGTGTGCGTTTTCAATGTGCCACATTTGGCTCTGTTCATGCGGATTTGAGTTGCCAGAAAAAAAAGAATCTGCAATGTGCCATCAGTGCCATCATCCTGCCCATCATCCATTCCTGATGCACCCAAAAGAACCCTTTTCCTCGCCCACACGGTCCCCCACCCTCCTCCCCCCTCTCCGGGTCCCCCTCCCACTCTCTCAACCACTCCCTCCCCCTTTCCCCCGTGCTTGCATGTGTGTGCACAGGGAGCGAGCAACAGCTGGGATATCCCAGTGGCGTTCATCAGTGTGGTCATCCTGCCCATTGTTGGCAATGCAGCAGAGCACGCTTCTGCTATCATCTTTGCAATCAAGAACAAACTGGTGCGTGTGCCCTCTCCCTCCCCTTGCCCTGGTCCAAATCCTTTCAAAGCCTTTTTTGTTTGTCGTTGCCCTAGCGTGACCTGTTTCTCATCTCCGCTTTCCCCTTTGCCATCATCCCTCCTACTCCAGTCCCATCAACACACACAACCCTCCGACTTTTCTTGAGATGATTTGATGCGAGCTGCTTCAATCTTATCCTTTTTAGCACATCCATGCCAACTCGTACCGTCCTGTCCCATGGTCAGCTGATGCCATCCCGTACCATGCCAACTCATCCATTTTATCCCAGTCCCATGTCATAACATGTTTTTTTTTCCCTTCTTTTCTCCTTCATCTGTTGCATCCCAACCATCAGGACATTGCTCTTGGTGTTGCCATCGGATCGTCTACACAAATCTCCATGTTTGCGGTTCGTTGCTTTCACCAACTTGCTCACTTATCTCCTCACCTGCAAGACCCCATTTCTTCTTGTGCATTCCTCCGTCATTGCTTCCGTTTCTTCCCATGCCCTCAGTTCCTCTCTCGACCCGACTTTTTTGCCATTGGACCCCCCCCCCCCCTTCCCCCCCCCCCTCCCCCTCCTCCCCCCCCCACTTTGTTTTGCCTTGTTTGTTTCTCTTGGTCCGATTCATTCTGTAACTCCTCACCTAGTGCTCCCCTTTATGTTCCCTATCCCTCGCATCCCAGATTCCGCTGTGTGTGGTGCTAGGATGGGCCATGGGAGTGCCGATGGATCTCAACTTCCACATATTTGAAACCGCCACTCTCTTTGTGACTGTGCTCGTCGTGTCGGCACTGCTTGCTGTAAGTCTGCACAGGTTGTGGGGAAAGGAGGGGCTGCATAATTGTTCTGCTTATGTTCTTACTTTCTCAATTGTGTTTTGCACGTGCATGGGTGCAAGAAATAGTGCAGAACATGTTGTTATGTCTGCCCTGATCTCTTTGTCACTTGCACTTGCATGTGACTGGTTGCAGGAAGGAGAAGCTAATTATTTCAAGGGCATCATGCTGGTACTCTCGTATCTTATTGTCTCTGCTAGCTACTTTGTTCACAATGACGCCAGTGAGACCCCGGATTGGCCTGGTCCACATGCCTGATCAGCCTACGATGGATAACATTTTAGTTGTTTGGTGACTTGAAATCTCCAATGCCTGAGTTGAAAATCATTGGAAGGCAAAGGTTGTGTTGATTTGGTATCACAAATAGCTGCAGCAGTGTATACAGTACCCTTATTATTGAGCTTCTGGAAACCCTCATCGCGATTCTGCACCCACATTCTTGGAGAGACAATCAGTGACGGCCACGCAAGCACCGTGTCCAGGTCCCTTGAAATGTGGATGCTTAGGGAATCGCGAGCCTTGCGAAACTCGTCGACTCCAATAAGAGGGAGCTTCGCAGTCGAATTTCACTTCGCCGCCGTCGCCAGTATTCGCAGTTTTTTTTCGCTGGTAACAACCAGCACAATACTCATCTCCTTTCTCTTGCATGCCTCTCTAATATTTACGCTCTGTTTCTCTTTCCCCATCGCCATTGCCTGCGTGGCCCAAGTACTTCGTCGTTTTCTCCTCTTCCCTCTCGAGACGCACTATGGCCGCAGTTACAGCAATGGCAGCGGCGACTATGCCTGCTCTGTGTAGCGCGTCGCGACATTTCCAGTCGGGCGCAAGTGTGCGCATGAGCGAGTCGGCCACACCACGGCTTACACTGAGGAGTAGAGAGCTGCGGCATCAACGGCTCGTAGTACGAGCAGCTAAGGTGAGGCTCAACTTAGTTTGATTGCGAACCACTGGACCTTTTCATGGAATGATCGTATTATATGAGTTGTATCTTCACATATGGTCCTGGACATTAAGTTATTTATGACCTAACAGAGGCTCTGGTTGACATCCAAGACTGGTCTGGTCTGCTATTTTCAGAATCAAACCCTTTCGTGGTCAGTAGCCTAGACTCCTCCTCCTCGCACTGAGCACTCGCGCAAGCAGCTCCAGATCAGAAGCAGCGGCAATGACCAGCAGTTGCGCACGCCGTTGCGTATCAGCAGCTGCGCAAGCTGTGAAAACATTGAGGAGCAACTGCTACTGCAACAGACGCAAGTAGTGTTTTAACGTCCACAGGCTGTCTTACATATGTGACCTCTAAGTAGCTACGCACTGTGTGAATGTTGCACGATCATGGTCGCAGGGGGGAAAAAGCAACTCGGAGGAGGATGAGGGGCCCAAGCTGAGCTCCGCGGAGAGGTTAGCGGCACTGGAGGAGAGGCTGGGGAAGGGCAAGAGCACTATTTGGAGGTAAGAATAAGGACGGGGGCAAGGATGAGGAGAGTCGACTCTGGTCTTCGCATACATATGCCTCATTGCGCTCCAGGAGCTGCTTCGTCTCCGCATTTACCCCACGTAACTGCGCGTCCCTTTCCCCTCTTCCCAGTGTCACACCAGAGCCTGAGCCGACACCTCCCCCGAAGGCAGAGCCTGTGTTTAGGATGTCGGGAGAGAAGTCGAGTTTTGAGAAGCTGGCGGAAGCATGGCTAGCCAAGGAAGGTGGTCTTACCAAGCTCAACGATTTTGCTTACAAGGCCATCTTTGCACTGGCTGGTGCTTGGATCATCTTCCGATTTATCGGACCAGCTACCGGCCTGTATTCCCTTGAAGATTCTCTTTTCGGCTGAGAACCAGGGAAAACTACTGAATCTGAGAGAATACTGGAGTGCTTGCATATCAGGCTTGTCAGATTAGTGTGCTGTTTTTTTTCATTTTTTCTTGTTGATTGTAGTGTAATGATGAGGTGCAAATATAGTTACGAGGATTTGTGTAAGCTGTATATGGAGGCTTACCATTTGCAGTATCGAGTCCTCCTGCAGCTTGCATTTATCCTCTTGCAGCATGCCCCGTCATGCCATGCCGTGCTCCACCATCTCGTTCGCGCCAAATACCATCCATCCAGCCATCCAATCTCGTCTCGTCGTCACGCGCGCAACCTCACAAGCGCAGGGGAGCGCGCGGAACCTGGATTTTGCTGGATGCTGGCGGGATAACCGCCTGCGCCAACCAAACTTACAGAGAGGACAGCGCGCAAGATGTTTGCGCAATGACGCTCCAAACAGGGTCTCATGACTCGTCCGGCTTGAACCTGCAGGCTCCAGCCGGATCACAATCGAATGTGGCAATGGTTCTATCATCCAGTCCAGACTACAGGAATGGTTGCCTGCATTATGCGCCTGTCATTAACTCTCGCGTAGCGATTAGCTACCTCGTCGCAACGATCCTCATCGCCCTCAGCGGCAGGCTCTCGTACTCTTCTGACGTTCCTCTCCCCTGTTGCTCGCCTTTCCCCCATCATCCACCTGTTGCACACGTTTGTAAGCGCTTAAAAACCCTCCGCTCGTCGTCGTCCTCTTCCTCGTCTTTCCCGTCACACCCTTCGCCCCTGCGCCCCAGCTATCGCCTCTCACCTCGCTATTACCGCCAGTCCTTCTTACAATCGTCTGATCGTCTAATAAATTGTTTGATTAATTAGCCGGCTAGTCTCTGATCGTTCGATCATCTGATGGTCTGATTGCAACAGAAGGAGGTCGCTGCGAGGCTGTGAGCGTAACACGAGGTCACTTCTGCTGCAGCAGCTGTTGCTGCTGCTGCTGCTGCTGCTGCTGCTGCTGCTGCTGCTGCTGCTGCTGCTGCTGCTGCTGCTGCTGCTGCTGCTGCTGCTGCTGCTGCCGCTACTGATACTGCGGCACTGGCACGAGGCGTCTCGACTCATGACTTTACTGATACCGCGCCGCATCACCCCTACCGACTCTCCCGTCGTTCCGACCTAAATTCGGCGCGCCGATCTTCTGTCGGCCCGATCTCATTTCCAGTCTCTGCGCTAGGATTCTTCCCGCATAGAGCGGCACGGCGATTCTCAGCAGCACGACAAGCACCCGTTTTTCCATTCTTCGGCCGCGCTACCCTCCTCCCCACCGCCCCGTTTCAGAGTCGACTCAAATCAGGTCTCCTTTATGCCCTACCCCCACCCGCGCCGCTTGTCGCCGCTCCTGCGCCCTCTCCTCTCCTTCCCGCTCCGTCCCTGGATCCCTCCCCATCAACCCTTTCGAAGCTTTCTTGCAATTGCCGCCATGCGCGTTGCACTGGTCACCGCGCCGCGATCCGCGCCGCTCCACGCGCTTCTGCTGACGCGGGGGAGGTGGACGCGAGGGGACACGTGGCGTGGGGGGATTGGGTGGAGTGAGAGCGTTGCTGCTTTTCCCAGGTGAGGCGTACGTGCTCCTGTGCCGGAGATACGCTGCTGCCTGTTGAAGGGAAATCACGATAGGGTTCTTTTGCGAGGCGAAGAGAAGATATCATTTTAACAGAGAGATGCTAGTAAGAAAGGAATTCGAGGTTGCGTGTGTGAACTTTCTCCTCCTCCACCCCTTTCCCCTCCCCTCCATCCCTTCCTCTTTTTGCTTCTAGGATGTTACTCCCGTTCCTCCGGTTTTTCTGATCCCGCCCTCTTCCCTCGCCTCATCACCTTCTCATAACCCCCCCATGCGCCCTCCCACGGGTCGCGCGCCTGTCCCTTCCGCCAGTCCCTTCCATCCGCCCGCACTCTGCAAGTCGACTCCACGCATTCCACGCCCTGCTGCCTACTCTCCGCCCTCCACCTCACTTCTCCATTTTCCTCCCTCCTCCACCTCCTCTGCCTCTTCCGTCCCCTTCTCCTCCCCCCCTTCCCCTTTCGTCTCCTCCGCCTCCGCCCTCCGGGTTCCATCTTCCCGGGTGCCAACCGCCGCTGCCTCTCTCACCACTCGCGCCTTCCCCCCTGCATCTTCTTCCTCTCCGCTCGTCCCTCCTCCCGTCAAACCCCGCGGGATCCCACTCGCCCCCTCGCGTCAGCGCAAACGCCACAAAGTGAAAGCACATGCATTTCCCGGCGCCTCCTCCCCCTCCTCCTCCTCCTCCGCCTCTACCCACTCCGCCCCGACCGCATTCCAGTCCCACAGAAGGGGGCGCAAGCCGAACGCGGCCAAGGAGACCGTTTTCGAGACGTCTCAAAAGCCGTCCTCCTCGTCCCACTCTCACGGCAACAAGGGGCGCAAGCCGAGAGCGGCGGCTAAGGAGACGAGCCATGAGACGTCAAAAAAATTGTCTGCATCCCAGTCTCATACCAGCAAGGCGCGCAAGCTGAGCGCGTCGAAGGAGAGGGAGGTGATAGAGTGGTACCGCGGGCACATGGAGCAGTGCAAGAAGCAGAGCGCACGCGAGCTGGTGAAGAACCTCGATTATTCCAATATTCTGGGGGTCAACCCCTCGTTCAAGAATGGAAAGTGCGTGCACGTGTGTATTGAGTGTATGTGGGGAGGCGGGGGAGGGGGGTGTGAGAGAGCGGGAGTGTGTGTGTGAGTTTTAGTCTCTGTGCGTGTGTATCTGTGAGTGTGTGCGCGCACGCGCGCTTGTGTGTGTTTAACGGGTGGGCACATGGAGCAGTGCAAGAAGCAGAGCGCGCGCGAGCTGGTGAAGAACCTCGATTATTCCAATTGGGGATCAACCCTGCGTTCAAGAATGGAAAGTGTGTGCGCGTGTGTGTGTGTGTGTGTGTGTGTGTGTGTGTGTGTGTGTGTGTGTGTGTTTGTGTGTATCTGTGAGTGCGTGTGTGTGAGGTGAGTGTGAGTGCGTGTTTGCATGTGTGTGTGCTGGAGGAGGGGTGGGGAGGGGGCTGGCTGCTGATGCATCATATCCATCTCTCTTCTCGAACATCTGTTATCACATGCATGCTGCTGCTGCTGGCAGCCTTTGAATACGAGCACGAGCATGGCAACACATGAGCGCCTGCGTTTGCCTGTGCTGTGCTGTGCTGTGCTGATGGTTCGAGACTGTTCATTCAAATGGTCACCAGTTGGGCGCAAGGCAGGGTGTACCTGCTTTGCTGCTTGTCATGAGTGCTCTTCTCTCATGCATCTCTCTTTTCAAGAAGCTTCAAGAACTTTCTGGTGTCTTTTCTCCTGGTTTTTTACGTGCCAAAGCCATGCTTGTGCAATATGCAGCACAGCAGCACAGCATGAGCATCGATTTTGAGACATCTTGGAAGACAGTACAAGGTTTTGTTTTTTTCTTGTGGTGTGCCTTCCATTTCATCCGCATTTCTCTTTGCTTTGCTGCATGTGTGTGTGTGTGTGTGTGTGTGTGTGTGTGTGCGCATGTGTGTGCGTGTGTATGCGTGTGTGTGTGTGTGTGTGTGTGTATGTGTGTGTGTGTGCATGCGTGCGTGCGTGTGTGTGTGTGTCTGCATGTGTGCAAACAGGTTGACCAACAGTGTGAACGATAAAATTCTTGAAACCAAGCGCAAGTTCCCGCATGAAGTCGTGCTCTGTAGGGTACAGTGCAGTGCGGTGCAGAGCGGTGGTCGCTGTAGAATGCACACGCCAACCAATCCTTCTTCATCTGCTTATGCTCGCACACGCGCTCTCCCACCCCCCGTTCTTGCACTCGTTTTTGTTCTTTCCAAGCACGAATCATAGCTTTAAGGATAAATTGCATTGTTTTCAAACAGCTGCATTTGCGCTTGGCAAATGTTATACCATGTTTCCTAGCAGTCCGGTCCCCTTCTTACCTTGCTGAATCACAACTTCTTTGTTACCAGAACCTACATTCTCAAATCTCCCTTGCTGCCTTCTCACTCCTTCTCTCCAAATTTCCGTTCTCCTTCAACCCCTGCCCCCCCTCGCCCCCTCTTTCTCTGTAAAACCCCCCAGTGCCCAGTTCTCCACCCCACCACCACTTCACACCGCCATTCCCACTTCTCCCTTCGTTTCCCCCGCTTCTCTCTCGCCTTACCCTCCCTTGTTCCTCTCCCGTCTCTCTCCTCCCCATCGTCTCCCCCTGCCCGCCCTGCCTCCCCTGCATGTCCGCTCCGCATGGCATGGCAGGTGGGCGAGTTTTACGAGACGGTGGGCTTTGCTTTGACGCGTGTCTGCTGGTGGAGCATGCAGGCCTCAACCCCGTGAACAACAACGCTATTTGAGTTGAGTTGACTCGAAAAATCCCCTCCGCTCGTCTCCCCCACCCACATGTCCGCTCCGCATGTGTGACAGGTGGGCGAGTTTTACGAAACCGTGGGGTTTGATGCGTGTCTGCTGGTGGAGCACGCAGGGCTCAACCCAATGGGCGGCGCCCGCCCCAACACCGTGCCCAAAGCCGGCTGCCCCACCATCAACCTGATGCAGGTAGGTCCTCTGAAGGGGTGGAGTGCAGTTGGGTGGGGTTGGGGTGAATGGGATAGGCTTTGAGCCTCGACTCTGGGTGTGTGCAGACGCTGGCTGGAGGCGCTAACGAGCCACGGGCTGTCTGTGGCCATAGTGGAGGAGACTCAGAACGGCTTTTTAGACGCCTTAAAAACCCTCTCATTGCCCCTTCCTTCCCCTGACCCCCTGCACATGTGCAGACGCTGGAAGCGCTAACGAGCCACGGGCTGTCTGTGGCCATAGTGGAGGAGACTCAGGACTCCTCGCCTGTGGGGGGGGGGGGGGTTGGACACCGTCGTAAAGCAAGCACCCTCACATCGCATAGAAGAACTGCTCACCGCTTCTAAATCCCGTTCACTGCCCATCATCCCCCCGTGTGCGTGCAGACACTGGACGCGCTAACGAGCCACGGGCTGTCGGTGGCCATAGTGCAAGATACTCAGGAGGAGGACTCCTCGCCTGTGGGGGAGGTGGGAGGTTTGGACATGTCTCTAGAAACCCTTTTCACCTCTTTACAAACCTTTCCACCACCCCATGATCCTCCCTCCTGTGCGTGCAGACACTGGACGCGCTAACGGGCCACGGGCTGTCTGTGGCCATCGTGGAGGAGGCTCAAGACACCTCGCCTGTGGGGGGACGGACCGGCGCTGCTAGCAAGAAGGGAAAGCCACGCTTCTTGGGAGGGTGCGTTGGTGGGAGGGAGGGAGGGAGGGAGGGAGGGAGGGAGGGAGGGAGGGAGGGAGGGAGGGAGGGAGGGAGGGAGGGAGGGAGGGAGGGTGGTGGGAAGGTGGGCGGGCAGGTAGGCGGGAGGGTGGTTGGGTGGGTGGGCGTGTGGGCGGGTGGGTGAACAGGAGAGGAGGGTGAGAGAATCAAAAGTCCTTCTCGTTCTCTGTTGCTGCACGTTCCCTCCCCTCCCCTCCCCTCCCCTCCCCTCCCCTCCCCTCCCCTCCCCTCCCCTCCCCTCCCCTCCCCTCCCCTCCCCTCCCCTCCCCTCCCCTCCCCTTCCCTCCCCTCCCCTCCCCTCCCGCGCCCACACATGCTCGCTTCCATACATGGCTACTCTCAGCAGTCCATACGTGTACTCCCCTGAGCGTTGGGACTCGTTGCGAGATGTCCTTTGATATGTCCGCATTTGAGTTGAGACGCCCCAGAAATAGATCAGAGAATTCACAAGACCCACTCTGCTGTGCTGCTGCTGCTAGCTGCTCCTCTCCTTCCCCTCACTTTCGCCACCACCACCCCACCCAGAGACACACACACACGCTCTCTCTCCCAGTTCTTTCTCTCTCCCAATGCTCTCTCCCATGCACGCATAGAAATTCCGACTCCTAACGTATTCCTTCGCACCGTTCACCTCCAGGCACGCGCACCCGTCCCGCAGCCCAAGCATGTATCGGCGTATCGCTTAGAGCATGGGGACTTGTTGTGAGAGTGAGATGCCTGCCTATTCCAGAATTGCCCGGCCCGGCACGCGTATGCTCTCTCTGTCTCCCTCCCTCCCAGCCACGCGCACCACCCCGGCAGTCCATACGTGTACGGCTTGGCGCGCAGCAACATGGAGATTGATCAAACACCCCGATCCGCGCCCCATCGTGGGCATCGCGCTCACGAGCGCGTTGGGAGATGTCCTTTGATATAGGGGCCTCTAAACGCACTCTCTTATGCTGCTGCACGCCCTCCCTCCCCACCCGCACATGCTCCAACCCACCCCCAACTTGCTCCACCCCACACCCCACACCCGACACGCACGCACATTTTTTTCCCACTCCCAGCCACGCGCACCCCGGCAGTCCATACGTGTACGGCTTGGCGCGCAGCAACGTGGAGATCGAATTCCCCCCGCCGCGCCCCATCTTGGGCATAGCGCGCACGAGTGCGAGTGGGTACACGGTGGTGAGCGCGTGGGAGATGACGCAGAACTACTGTGTCGAACCACTACTTACTGAGGAGGCTGCTGTGGCGAAATTGAGGGCCAGCGGCTGCCACCGCTGCTTCGTGCACTCCTCTGTTACTGGTGCGTGTTTGGGGGGTGAGGGTGGGCGCGTGGGAGAGGGGGTGTATGGGAGAGGGGGCGCATGGGGGAGTGGGTGCGTGGAAAAGTGGGTGCATGGGGAAGTGGGTGCGTGGGGGAAGAAGGAGCCACGCACGCAGGAGTGCGTTGGGGGGTTGGGGGCATGGCTTGCTTGCACGAGTGCGAGTGGGTACACGGTGGTGAGCGCGTGGGAGATGACGCAGACCTTCTGTGTCGAACCACTACTCACTGAGGAGGCTGCTGTGGCGAAATTGAGGGCCAGCGGCTGCCACCGCTGCTTCGTGCACTCCTCTGTTACTGGTGCGTGTTTGGAGGGTGGGGGTGGGCGTGTGGGAGAGGGAGTGGGAGAAGAAGGGGTGTGTGGGGGAGTGGGTGCGTGGAAAAGTGGGTGTGTGGGGGAGTGGGTGCAATGGAGGGGTGAGGGCCACGTGCAGGAGTGCGTTGGGGGCATAGCATGGCTTGCACGAGTGCGAGTGGGTACACGGTGGTGAGCGTGTGAGAGAAGGGGTGCGTGGGAGAAGGGGTGCGTGAGAGAAGGGGTGCGTGAGAGAAGGGGTGCGTGAGAGAAGGGGTGCGTGAGAGAAGGGGTGCGTGAGCGAGTGGGTGCCTGTGGGAGTGGGTGCAAGGGCCGGCACGTGCTGGGGTGCGTTGGGGGGTTGGGGGAATGGCATAGCGCGCACGAGTGCGAGTGGGTACACGGTGGTGAGCGCGTGGGAGATGTCGCAGAACTACTGTGTCGACACGCTTCTCACTGAGGAGGCTGCTGTGGCGAAATTGAGGGCCAGCGGCTGCCACCGCTGCTTCGTGCACTCCTCTGTTACTGGTGGGTGTTTGGGAGGATGTGGGTGGGGTGGGGGGTAAGGGGGTGGGTGTGTGTGTGGGTGGGTGCGCAGGAGAGGACAGGGGGGGGGTGAGGGAGTGGGTGCCTTGGGGAGTGGTGCCTTCGGGAGTGGGTGCCTTGGGGAGTGGTGCCTTCGGGAGTGGGTGCCTTGGGGAGTGGTGCCTTGGGGTGGTGGGGGGTCGGTGCACGTGCAGTTGGTTCATTAGTGTTTCCTGAAACCATTGTGGTGCTTGCTTCTGGCCACTTTCTCCCGTCCTTTCTCGCTTGGGTTTTTTTTTTAACCCCCTTGTTTTTGGCCCCTACTTCGTTTCCTTCCCCCTTCTCCTTCACCTCTGGTTCCTCTCCCCCCCCCCCCCCCCCTCTCTGCTCCGCTCCCTGTCGTGATTTTTCTTTTTTTTTCGCCTCCTGGTTCCTGAACAAATCGATGCCTGATTCTTGTTCCAAGTAACACCCACTCTCGTCTCCCCACCATCAACAACCAATAACTCTCGTCTCCCTTCTCTCACCAACCCCTTCTTCCCACCATCCTTTCCCCCACGCCTCCTTCCCCCGCGCCTCTTTCCCCCACGCCTCCTTCTTTCCACGCCTGCTCTCTCTCTCGCTCTCTCCGCGGCTTGTACGGGGAGCAGATGGAGGGGGGTGGCGGGACCATGGAGCAGGGGGAATGCTGTTCTCCGAGTGTGTGGCCAAGGGCTATGACAAGTACGAGGGCGACCATGTCAATAGCCTGCTCAATAAGGTGACTGCATGAGTGTGCGGGCAGGGCGGCGACTTAGAAGGGACCATGGGGCAGGGGGAATGCTGTTCTCCGAGTGTGTGGCCAAGGGTTATAACAAGTACGAGCGATCATGTCAATAGCCTGCTCAATAAGGTGACCTTTTGAGAGTGCGGGAAGGAGAGGGGAAGGGGGGACTGGGAAATTTGATGGGACGGTCAGGGTGTTGTTGTCTAATTGTGGGGTAAAGGCTTTGACATGTACAAAAGGATTCATCAAACAAGAGTGGCTCGTCTTTTTTGTTTCTTTTTTTTTAGCCACTCTACTGTGTAGGAACTCACGTTTGCAACCTATTGTCTGCCCCTTGGGCCAACCCGTCCAGCCCTTTCCCGCCCGTATACCCCACTGTCTCCATGCAATACACCACACTGCACCTCATTTCACCTCATTTCACCGTGCAAACATCAGGTGCGAGATCTGTACGACCTGGGCGCAGTCTCCTTCCAGCAGCTGCAGCTGCCACCCCCCGACTCCCGCCCTAGACCGCTCTACGTCTCCACGGCCTCCCAAATAGGTGTGTGCCACGTCAGCACCGTCCATGTGTGCACACGATGCAACATTGGCATGATGCCACGTCTGCACAATACTGCAGCCTCTTTCGGACTTTCGAGCTGACTCAAGAGTCACCTCGTCTCCCCCCTCCTGCCACTCCCCACCCCCCTGTCCCCATCCTTCATCCGTCCGTGCAAACGGCAGGCATTCTACCAACGCGGGGAGTTCCCAGTCTGCCCCACCGGCTGCTCCGGACAATGCATCACCTCGTTCCTGCCCTTCCCCCTCCCCCTCTCCCCACCCCCCGGTTCCCCCTTTCCCCCCCTATCCCTGTGCCAAGCACAGGCATTTTACCAACACGGGGAGTGCCCAGTCTGCCGCACCGTCTGCTCCCGGACAATGCAGCGGGCCTCTCTGTGTGCCTTGCGTACCTGTGCTCGCTGCTGCTCACCCCGCCGCCTCCCGAGGTCGCCACCAGCATCCAAGGTGTGCGGCTTGAGGTCTTCAGATCCCCTTTCTTTGCTTTCCCTTCACCCCTCACCTCACCTTACTCCTCTCCTCCTCACCCTTCTCCTCAACCCCACCTCACTCCTCACTTCATTGCCTCTGTTTCTCGGCGTTTCCACCACCCATACTTCCTCAACCCAGGTTTCCCACCTTTCTCCTGCACCGTCTTTCTCCAACACCCCTCTCTGTTGCCCCCCGCTCCCTATCCACCTATTGCCCGCTCTTCCTCTCCCCTATCCCCCTACCCCACCATCGCTCTTCCCACCCACTTTCTTACCCCCCGCTTCCCCCCCCCCTGCTTGACCCGCACAGATGCGTGTTGCCTGTTGTATCACCTACCCGTGCTGCCCGAGTTCCTGTGTGTGCCGCCCTCGCGTCTGGTGAAGCTGATCTCAGCAGCGGAAGCCACCTCCTCTGAGCTGCTCAGAGTGCGAACACTCGCCAGAACCTTCCTGGATATGCTGCAGGACTCAGGTCCTGCCAACATTAGCAGCAGCGGCAGCGGCGGCGGCGGCAGCGGCGGCAGCGGCGGCGGTGGCAGCGGCAGTGGAGGTGGTTTGAGCGGCAGTGTGGTGAGGGAAGGGGGGATGCGGCAGCTGGCACTAGATCTGCTGGTGCCCACGGAACTCGCATGTGGCTTGCCTCTCCATGTCGACACATTGGTGAGTCACACAACACTGTCACACGTGCGCAATAGTGTACGTCTCTTCTAGTTGCTTACGGGATCTTCAGTCCAAGGGGTGGGGGGGGGGGGGCTTCAAGAGGAGCATTTAACAGGTGAGGCACGGTGGGAGGAGTGATCCAAACGAGTTATGGAGTTCGTTCACCTGCCCTGTCAGGCTGCTCAAGGCTGCTCACTCGCCCTACCAGTCCCCCACCTCCCTGTCCCTCCCTCTGTCAAACGCTGTCCACTGTTCATTCCTTGTTCCGTTCCCTCCCTCTTTCCCTTCCTCCCACTCTCCAATAACTCCTCCCTCTCACCCTCCCTCCCACCCTCCCTTCCCCCTTCCCCCCTCCCTCCCTCCCTCCCTCCCTCCCTCCCTCCCTCCCTCCCTCCCTCCCTCCCTCCCTCCCTCCCTCCCTCTCTCGTCCGACCGCAGGCGCGGGAGTGTGAGGCGATATGTGCGATGGTGAGCAACGTGTTGCTGGATGACACTGCCCACCTCATGGAGGCACCTGCACCTGCACCTGCTGCTGGGGTAGAAGAGGGAGCGGAAGGTGAAGAGGAGGAGGTGGCCGGGGGAATTGCTGCTGGGATGCAGCAGTTAGGGAATGAGACAAGACCAGTGCTGCAGCAGCAGCAGCAGTTAGGAGTACTGGGGAAGCAGGGAGGAGGAGAGGGATGGAAGGGGGAGGAGGAAGGGGAGGACGGAGGGGATAGGGGGGTGGCCATTAGTGGGAGTGAATTTCAGGCGATGGAGGATTTTTTTGAGGTGATGGAGGTGCAATGGAGGGGTCGAGTGCGGTACGAGCACATACAGGCGGAGTGCGAGAGGGTGGCCAGGGCTGCAGAGCGGTACAATGAAGTGGTAAGCCTGTGGGTGCCGTGCTTTACTTCACTTCCTCTTTCCTCTTCTTCCTCTCTCTCCTTAATTTCCTTTCTCTGCACACTTCTATTCTCTCATCCTCGTCCTTCCCTTCTGCAACCCTCTTTGTGCAAAATAGTATATTCTACTGTTTCCTTTTGTTTTTTCCCTAAGTGGTTTTTTCTTGGCGTCTCAAAAGCAAAACCTTTTTCCTCTCCGCGCCCCCTCCGCTTTTCCTTTTTTCCCTGTCCTTCCCTGCCTCGCCCCATGCACCACACCAGGTGAAGCGTGACCTGATGCCCTTTGTCAACCGCAGTCGCAGCCTCTCCCCACGCACCTCCAGAGCAGCGGACAGGGGCGTGGAGATAGCAGCATACCGAGACCACGGGGTGCTGCTCAAAGGGACCCGCGCCAAGGCACTGGTGCGTGCGTGCATTCGGCCCTTATTAGGGCGATTTCCGAGGATTCGGGTAAATGCTGGTAGGCGGTGGGTGCTTGTGACTTTTGAGAGGTTTCAAAGGTCGCTTCGGGACCACTGGTTGCTGTTCAAAGGGAACTGAGCCAAGCCCAAGCCACTGGTGCGTGATTTCGCTGGTTACTGCTCTACTGCCCCGAATGGTTCATCCATCCATCCCCCATCCCTCATTCTCCATGGCTCCTCGTCGCCATTCATCCACATTCATCCACATTCATCCACATTCATCCACATTCATCCACATCCATCCACATTCATCCACATTCATCTTCCATCATCAGCATCTTACCCCCTGCACCCTGGTTCACCTGCAGTGCAGGTGAGCGTGCATGACCCCAGCGACCCTCTCAACGTGCTGGCACAGCAGAACCCCTCCTCTCATCCCCCGATCCGCCCGCTCTTCCTCCCATCCCACGATCCGCCCACTCTTCCTCCCATCCCCCGATCCGCCCGCTCTTCATCCCATCCCCCGATCCGCCCGCTCTTCCGCCCATCCCCTCCCCCATGTGCAGGTGAGCGACTCCAGCGACCCTCTGCATGCGCTGGTGCAGCAGCTGGTGCCGGCGGCGGTGGATAGCAAGGGCAAGAAGGCGGGCGACGGTTGGTACTCCACTCATGCCGTCGATGAAGCTCTCTCCGAGTAAGATCTCCTGCTTACTATTGCCCTGGAGGACGGGGGGTTCGGGGTTGGGGGAGTGGATTGGTTTGTAGCAGTCGACTCAAGACGGCTGGTAGGTAGGTACTCCACTCATGCCGTCGATGAAGCTCTCTCCGAGTAAGATCTCCTGCTTACTATTGCCCTGGAGGACGGGGGGTTCGGGGTTGGGGGAGTGGATTGGTTTGTAGCAGTCGACTCAAGACGGCTGGTAGGTAGGTACTCCACTCATGCCGTCGATGAAGCTCTCTCCGAGTAAGATCTCCTGCTTACTATTGCCCTGGAGGACGGGGGGTTCGGGGTTGGGGGAGTGGATTGGTTTGTAGCAGTCGACTCAAGACGGCTGGTAGGTAGGTGCTCCACTCATGCCGTCAATGAAGCTCTTTCCGAGTACGGTTTGTTTGTTACTATTGCCCTGGAGGACGGGGTTTGGGGTTGGTTGGGGGAAGGGGAGCTGGTTTGTAGCAGTCGACTCAAGACGGCTGGTAGGTAGGTACTCCACTCATGCCGTACGGTTTTTTTGTTTGGACTAGCATAGCGTGGGTGGGGCGTGGGTTTTGGGGAGTGGCTGTGCAGTCAGCTCAAACGGCTGGTTTTCCACGCCTGCCATTGGTAAAGCACTTACCGAATGGGGTGCTACCCTGGCTGGGGTTTGGGGTTTGAGGTTGGAGCAGTTGCTTTGCTTTGCTATCAATTCAAGGCGGCTGGTACTCCACTGCTGCTGTCGATGAAGCTCTTACTGAGTGCGGTTTCCTTCTCACTGCTACCCTGGAGGGCGAAGTGCGGGGTGGATTTCAAGCCAACCTCTTCCCCGCCCGCCCTTCCCTCTCGCCCTCTCGCCCTGTGACCAGGTACAAGGACGCAGTAGCTGCAGCACACTTTGCGGTGGTGGCAGCGCTGCAGCAGCTGTCCCGTGAGCTGCAGCTATACCTCAGCAGCATTGTGGCTGTGGCTAACTTTGGCATCGTCGCCCGCACCCTCGACGCACACGTCAGGTCTGGTTTATTTAGAATTCTCAAAAAACGGACTGGAGTGTAAGACTGCCCAACTCAAACAGTCGGTTTTTGAATCGGCTCATAAGGAGCTGCAGCCGTGCCTCAGCACAGCACCATCGTGGCTGTTGCTAACTTTGGCATTGTCGCTCGCGCGTACCCTCGACGCACATGTCAGGTAGGTGGGGCGTGCTAAAACATATGATTCATGAGTGATTGTGAGACTGCTCCGCTAAAGCAGTCGACTCTTGAGCTGGCTCAAAAGGAACCTTTGCCCTCCGTGCCCTCCGTGCCCTCCGTGCCCTCCGTGCCCTCCTTGCGTTCCTTGTTTGCATCTACTTCCCCACCGTCGGACATTCTCTCCCCACCCCGACCATCTGTGCTGTGCTGTGCGCCCCACGTCCAGGTGCTACTCTCATCGTGGCTGGATCTTCCCCACTCTCGCTCCACCACCATCAAACAACCAGCCCCACCAGCATGCACAGCACCACGCACTCACCCATCCCTCAAAATATGGAGGCGCCTCAGAATTAAATCTTCTCCTACCCACCCCTCCGATCTGCTCCCCCCCACTTCCAGGTGCTGCTCTCATCGTGGCTGGATCTTCCCCACGCTCGCTCCACCACCAGCACCAACGGCATCAGCGGCATCAAACAACCAGGAGCAGCACCATGCACAGCACCACACACTCACCCACAACGTCACCTCCGCCACTCCGCACACCACCAACCTCCCTCCCTCTTCCATCTCCCCACAAACCCTTCTCCTCGAAGGCCTGGTTCCCTACTGGCTAGACCACACGCCAGCCTCCCCCGCAGTCCCCAACACGCTCTCTCTCTCCTCGCTCGCGCTCCTCACGGGGCCCAACGGCGGGGGAAAGTCGTCGCTGCTGCGGTCGGTGTGTGCGGCGGCGCTGCTGGCGTCGTGTGGGCTGATGGTGCCGTGCGTGCGGTCGGCGCACGTGCCGTGGTTTGATGCGATTGTGCTGCGCATGATGCCCGCTGATAGCCCCTCTGACGCCAAGAGCTCGTTCCAGGTAAGTGGAGGGAGAGGGGGGGAGGCGAAGGAAGAGAGGGAGGGGTAGGGTGAAGGGAGGAGGGGAAGGGGTTGGAGGAGGGGAAGGGGAGGGAGGTGGGGAAAGGGGGAGGAAAGGAGGGGAGGGAGGGGGATTCAAGTATCCCTGGGCACGTGCTGTGGTGTGTGCGGCGGCGCTGCTGGCGTCGTGTGGGTTGATGGTGCCGTGTGTGGGGTCGGCGCACGTGCCACGGTTTGATGCCATTGTGCTGCGCATGATGCCCGCTGATAGCCCTTCTGACGCCAAGAGCTCCTTCCAGGTGAGCGGAGGGAGAAGGGAAGAGGGGGTTGAAGTGGGCAGGGAGGGCGTGGAGGAATGGGGTGGCAGGGGAAGGTTAACCAACACCATAAATTAGACACCAGATGGAAAAGATGGAGCTGTGTAGCTTAACGGTTAAGCCTTAACCTCTCCTAACCCCCCACTCCCAACCCAACCATTCCTACCCTCTTCCGTCCCACCCCCTGCTCCCCCGTTCCCCCCTATTCCCTCCCATCCCCCTCTCCCCTTTCCCTCCCTCGGCAGATGGAGATGATGGAGCTGCGCAGCATAACCCAGGACGCTCGCCTCTGTCTTCCAATCCGCCATTCCCAACCATCCCCTTCCTATCCCCGTTCCCCTTCTCCCTCCTCCCCCGTTCTCTCCCAACAACAAATTCGTCCGCAGATGGAGATGATGGAGCTGCGCAGCATAACACAGGACGCGTCCCCGCGCTCCCTCGTGCTCCTGGACGAGCTCTGCAAGGGCACCGAGCCCGACAAGGGCGCCTGCCTCGTAGCCTCTGCCCTCGAGTTCCTGGACCAGTCGCGGTGTGTGGGGGTGCTGTCAACCCACTTCCACCGCGTGCTAGACCTGCCTCTGCAGCTAGATGGCGTGGTGCGCCTCGCCATGGGGGTGCGGCGGCGGAGAGCAGACGGTGGAGGGGATGGTGGGATGGAACCCACGTGGCAGGTCACCCAGGGCGAGTGCCGGTGAGTGTTCTGGCTTGCCTTGGGCTGACTTAGGCTGACTTGAATTGACTCGAGTTGACCTGAGCTGAGCTGGCTTGACAGAAACTGACTTGGGTTGACTTGGGTTGATTTGAGTAGACTTGCGTTGACTTGGGTTGATTTGAGAGGACTTGCGTTGACTTGGGTTGATTTGAGTAGACTTGCGCTGACTTGGGTTGACTGGAGTTCCTGGACCATTTGCGGTGTGTGGGAGTGCTCTCCACGCTCTTCCACCGCGTGCTCGACCTGCCGCTGCACCTGCACGGCGTGGTGCGGCTTGCCATGGGGACGCGGAGGAGGGCAGGAGATGGTGGAATGGAGCCCACGTGGCAGGTCACTCAGGGCGAGTGCCGGTGTGTTCTCTGCTCTGACTTGGTTAAAGGTGACTTGGATTGACTTGAGGAAGGACGTGCACGCCGCACCATCCCATCCACACCATTCTTGCTTCACTTGCTCTCCCCCTCTGCCGCTCTCTCCCCTTCTTCCTCCGTCTCTCCCCTCTTTCGCCCACTCTCCCTTCTGCCCCTCTGCCACTCCACCGCCCTCGTTGCCTTGCAGCGACAGCCTTGCATTGCAGGTGGCAGCGAGGGAGGAGGTGCCGGGTGCCACTCATTCTATCTGTACCATTTCGACTTCACAGTTCTCTGCCTTGCCTTTCGTCCCACGCTCTCGCTCCCCCCCTGCCACTCGCTCTCCTTCTGCCCCCTTCGCTCCCCCCTGTAGTGACAGCCTGGCGTTTGAAAGTGGCAGCAATTGAGGGCGTGCCTGCAGCAGTGGTGGACCGCGCTGCTTCCCTGCTGCTCTTTTCAGGCGTCTCAAAACTCGCCCTCTGCCCTCTTCTGCCCCCCTCCCTCCCCGCTGCAGTGACAGCCTGGCGTTCGAGGTGGCAGTGAAGGAAGGCGTGCCGACAGCAGTGGTGGACCGGGCTGCTGTGCTGCTGGAGCACTTGTGAGGCACCTCAAACCCCCACTCTCTCCCCTTCTGCCTTCTTCTGGCCCCCTCCTTCCCCCCCTCTCCCTCCCCGCTGCAGTGACAGCCTGGCGTTTGAGGTGGCAGTGAAAGAAGGTGGCCGACAGCAGTGGTGGGCCCGGCTGCTGTGCTGCTGCACTTTTGAGGCACCTCAAATTCCCGCTCTGCTCCACCCCTTATTACTTCCTGCAGTGACAGCCTGGCGTTCGAGGTGGCAGTGAAAGAAGGCGTGCCGACAGCAGTGGTGGACCGGGCCGCTGTGCTGCTGCAGCACCTGCAGCAGCAGGAGGCTCAGCTGAGACACGCACATGATATCCTGGCTCTGCAGCAGCAGCAGCAGCAACAGCAGCAGCAGCAAGAGGAGGATAGAACAGGGAAAAGATTGCTTAAGCCATGGGATGCAGCGCAAACTAGTGTAGGTGGTGGCGGCAGTGGGAATGGGGCAGCGGCGGCTGCTCCTTCTTCTGCGCTCAATCACGGGGTTGGGATTGGTAGTGATGTGGCAGGTGGGGGGCAGCACGAAGCAGTGTTGAATGGTGGTGGATGGACGAGCATGGAAGAGAGTGGGGGCCTTTCAGGAGGTGAAAGTGGCACCGAAGGAGAGGAAACGTGGGGAGAGGAGGAGGAGGAAGAGGAGGAAGAGGAAGAGGAGGAAGAGGAAGAAGAGGAGGAATTGGATGGTCGAATTCTTCGACCAAAAGCAAGAAAGAGAGGAGGAGGCGTATCAAGTGGCAGTCGCACTGCCAGTAATGGTGTCACGGGTGCCGGTGCTGGTGGTGGTGGTGGTGGTGGTGGTGGTGTTGGTGCTCGTGCTGCTGCTGTCGGTCCGTACCTGGCTTTGAAAGATGCGGTCTGGATGTTTGAAGCTGTGACTGCAGAGGCGATGTCTATGCTGGATTGGAATAGCGCGAGCATGGAGCAAGCGACTCTGCAGCGCATCGAAGGGGGTTCAAGCCAGGAGGTCACAGCAGAGAAAGTGGAGCGGGTGCAGTGTCCTGCTCAGGGGCCGATGGGACTGCTGGGAGCAGCAGGGGAGGCTGTGGGTGGTGTTGGTGTTGCGGGGGCTGTGGGGCTAGAGTTAAGTTCGGGGAGGGGTGGAGGAGATGGGCTTGCGCGTGAGGGGGTGCGAGCGGTGGTGGTGATGGGGAAGCAGATGCCCTCTGCATCGGTGGCTAACCACCAGTCGTTTGTGTACCTGCTGTGCCGCCCCGACGGGAGGTTCTATGTGGGGGAGGTGCGTGCGTGGGTTGGGTTGTGGGTGGGTGGGTGGGTGAGTGGGTGGGTGGGTGGGTGGGTGGGTGGGTGGGTGGGTGGGTGGGTGGGTGGGTGGGTGGGTGGGTGGGTGGGTGGGTGGGTGGGTGGGTGGGTGGGTGGGTGGGTGGGTGGGTGGGTGGGCTTTTGGAGTGTGGTGGTTCTTGAATCGGCTCGAGAATCGGTTTTTTTTGGGCGAGGTGCGTTGGTTGGCTTGTTGGTGAGTAGGCTTCTGGTGCAGAACAGACTTCTTATGCCACCGCGCCTCAAAACACATCATCTCAAGCCACCGCTCCTTCCCCACGCTCTTTCCTATATTTTCTTAGTCGACTCAGCAATCGTCCCCTTTCACAGCTCCCTCCCCACAATCTCCTTCCCCACCCTCCTTCCCCACCCTCCTTCCCCACCCTCCTTCCCCACCCTCCTTCCCCACCCTCCTTCCCCACCCTCCTTCCCCACCCTCCTTCCCCACCCTCCTTCCCCACCCTCCTTCCCCACCCTCCTTCCCCACCCTCCTTCCCCACCCTCCTTCCCCACCCTCCTTCCCCACCCTCCTTCCCCACCCTCCTTCCCCACCCTCCTTCCCCACCCTCCTTCCCCACCCTCCTTCCCCACCCTCCTTCCCCACCCTCCTTCCCCACACTCTTTTCCCACACGGACGAGATATCAGAGCGCATAGAGCATCATTGCTCGTCGGACAAGCTGATGTGCGACCGTTGCGCGAGTTGGTGTGACTTTTGAGAATTCCTAAAGTCACACCAATAAAGCACCATTGCTCGTCGGACAAGCCGTTGCGCGAGTCACCAGTGGCCATCATCCCTCATCCCGACGCCCAGCAACAGCGCCCTCCAACTCCTCCTCTCCTCCCCCCCTCCCCCCCCCCACCCCCACCCCCTCTCCCCCTACTTACCACCCCCACCCCCTCTTACGCCCTACCCCTGAACCGTTTTCTCCCACGCTAACACCCACATCATCCCTTTCCCCACCCCCTTCCCCACCCCCTTCCCCACGCTCCTCTCCCAGACGGACCAGATATCAGTGCGCATAAAGAAGCACCGGGAGAAGAAGCTGTTGCGGGAGGCACCAGTGGCCATCATCGCAGCGCCCAGCAAGAGCGCAGCGCGCTTGATAGAGACGTATGTGATCGCGCGCCTGAGGGACTCGGGCGTGCCGCTGGCCAACCAGGCGGACCAACACCACAAACACTTTGGCAGCGCCGGCGCCCCCACCCTCCCCTCGTTCCCCCCGCCCTTCTGAGGCGGAAGAAGGGGGGTGGAGCAAGGGAGTGGAGGGTACGAGCTGGTTTTTTAGAATTCTCAAAAAGAGAGACACGCACTGCGTACCGCGCACCACTGATGGAGGTTCGGAGGTTGGGGGCTGGGGGCTGGGTGGGGGGTGGTATGAGCGGAAGGGGCATGGAAGGAGGGGGAGAGGAAGGAGGGGGGGGGAGTGTTGCGGCTGGCAGCCCACTTCATGAAGACGCACGTGATCGCCCGCCTGAGGGACGCGGGCATGCCGTTGGTTAACCAGGCGGACCATACCACCGCCACCGCCACTTCGGCAGTACCGGCGCGGCGGCGCCCCCCTCCGCCCCATGTTCCCCCCGCCCTTCTGAGGCGCAGGACTGATAGAGGTTCGGAGGTTGGGGAAGGGGGAGGTGGGGAGGGAGGGAGGAAGAAAGAGGGGGGTGGAAGGGGGGGGAGGGGGACTGCAGGTGGGGGCACTTGGGGGCACTTGAGGGCAATTGGGGGCACTTGGGGGCACTTTGGGGGTACTTGGGGGCACTTGGGGGCACTTGGGGGCACTTGAAGGCACTTGGGGGCACTTGGGGGCACTTGGGGAACACTAGGAGCAAGCGCAGGGGGGGTGTTACCCTGGGTGTACCCATGTGGGCTTCCTTCCTTTCTTTCCATGCTGGTGATTCAAAAACAGAAGTAGGTACCGTACTACCTCTGCCGCCGACCCTTTTCTTGGTCGCGATGCTTGCTGGGATGGCGGCACTGGTAGCAAGTTACGGTATGGTTGTGACGTTGAAATGACCTACGGTAGTTGGCTAGGTTAGAGCTAGGCGAGTGGATTACCTACCATGTGGATTCCTGAAAGCACTGTACTGTACGGTATATGTTTACCTTAGACATTCAAACATCTGGGTGTGTCTACGTGTGCATTTGTTGTAACTTGCAGAACTTCTCTCACCAAGATTTTGTTGGCTGGCTGGCTCACATTGGCTTTAGTGCACAGGGCGCAACCAAAATTTGCAACAATGAGGGGTAGGTACGGTAGGTACCATGTTGCAGCTAGAAGCTAGCTACTAGTATCAAATCAACACAATGGGTTTGCATCAACTACAGTATCCTGCTGGCTCCAGGAAAACATGCTTCTATGGTACACAAACACAGCAAATATATCATGCTTCACCTCAACCATACGCACAAACATGCGCCGCCTTACTACCAGTAAATCATCTCAATCCCACCGTATAACCCCCAAATATCCCATTCCTCCCCTACCCTTCACCTCCACCCACCACAGTATCTCCCTCGGCCCTAAGAAAAATCAAGAACTTAAATCTTCCTCCGGGGAGCAATTCTCCTTCACACTCACCTCCCCTCCCGCATTCACCAATCTCCCACACTCCCACACCACTCCCACACTCACCATCCCACACTCACCATGATCCCCATACAACCCTCTCGATCTCCCCCTAGCATGGCGTCTTGCACACAGGATTGCGGCACGCAGGGTAATTCACCCCGCCCACCTTACACGTGGGCGGCGGAGGCGTCTTCTTGCAGCACCCCTTCTGCGACCCAGCGGGCGGCGTGGTCGTCTTGGGAATGCTCGCCAACAACCGCCGCCGCCCACTGCCCGCAGTCGGCAGGTAATAATTCGCCTCAAACAGGTAGAACTGGTACGGGTTGCGACTATCAAACGTCGGATCGATGAACACGTAGGCGGCACGGCCGAGCAGGCCCGAGGGGTCATCGGGGAACATCTTGACGATGACGACGGCGGTGAGCTCGTCGATGGCCATGGTGGAGGAATCTGACAGGTAGTTCTGCAGCAGAGGTAGGGTTTCGAAGTCTAACGCTGCCTGCGTGCGATTGAACTGGTGGGGGGAGGGCGGGGGAGAGGGGAACAGGGGAAGGAAGGGAAGGAGGGAAGGGGGGAGAGGGGAGTTGGGGTGAGAAGGGTGGTAAGGAGTGGGTTGGAGAGCAGGGGGCTGAGGTGGAGAGGCGGAGAGGGATCGTTGGGGAACATCTTGACGATGACAGCGGCTGTGAGCTCGTCGATAGCCATGGTGGAGGAGGAGCCTGACAGGTAGTTCTGTAGGAGAGGAGAGACAGGGTTTCAAAGTCTAAGGCTGCCTGCGTGCGGTTGAACTGATATGGGGAGGGGGCGAAGGAGGGTTGGAATGGGGAGGGTTGTGCGGGTGGGGAGAGAATGGGTTGGAGGTGAGCTTGAGCAAGGGAGAAGGGTGTGGAGGGGGGAGAGAGGAAGGGGGGAAGGTGGGAGGGAGGGAGGTGAGAGGAGGGGAGGTAAGCAGGGTGGAGGAAGGTTGTGAGAGAGAAAGGGATCAAAGGGAGAGGGGGGGAGAAGCGGGTAAGGGGAAACGGAGACGCGAAGGGGGAAGTGGAGGGGGGAAGGGGGAACGGGCGGAAAGAGAGGAGAACGGGGCTGACGGGGAAGAAAAATACATACAATCAAGACATTTGGACTTTTTTTCCCACCAACACAGACTCCCCCTTCCCATCCCACAGTCCCAACTCTCCCGCACTCCCCCACTCATCCCCTTCACATTCCCCCATCCCCCATCCCCCCTCCCCCCTCCCCCCTCCCCCTTCTCCCTTCCCCCTTTCCCCCACGCACCGTGATCGTCACCGTCCCCTGCGGCGGCACCTCGAAATTCGGGTCCTCCCCAATCGCAGCAAAGTCTATCCCCGTTAGAGACAGGCTCGACACGCCGTCGTTAACGAGCGTCATGACGACGGTCTCGTTGTAGAGGTTGGGGTCGGGCGCGGGCCCCCAGATGGAGAGCGCGAAGCCCTGGCGCATGAAGAACGGGGGGAGGGGCGTCTCGTACAGCACGTTGTCGTCGTCCATTGCGAGCGTCTGCGCTATCTCCACGCACAGCGCGCCGAACGCTGCGCGCACGGGGGGGGAAGGGGGGGGAGGGGGGAGGGAGCCGAGGGAATGGGGGTGGACCGAAGAAGAGGAAGGGTTGGAGGGGAATGGGTGCGAGAGAAGAAAACGAGGGGGAGGTGAGGGAGCGGGGGCATTCGGACTGATAGGATGGGAGAGATGGCGTCTCGTACAGAGACGACGCGACGTCGCACGGCGCGCGCAACGACGACGACGAGCAAGCGACGGCGCGCGACAAACACGCGACAACGACGACACGGAAAGACGACAGCGGCGACTCGCATGCGACGAGCGGGCGCGCGACTCACATGCGACGTTGGACATGTTGCCGATGAAGAACTTGTTGGCATTCTCGAAGGTGGTCTCGAGCGACGTGGACGACTTGAGACACAGCGCCAACACCGAATCCACTCCCGCCTGGTTGTGCGAACGACGGGGGAAGGGGGGGGGGGGCGGGTCGAGAAAGACGTGCGGGAAGAGGTGGGGGGGCGGAAGGGAAGGAGGAGAGGGGGAAGGAGGCAGGGGAGAGGTGAGTGGACGTGCGGAGGTTTCGAGCGACGTGGAGGTCTTGAGACAGAGCGCCAACACCGAATCCACTCCCGCTTGCCGGGGGAGGGGGGAGGGGGGGTGACCGGGGGGGGCGACGGAGGGGGCAACAGGGGGGGAGGAGAAAGACCGGTGAAGGGAGGAAGAAGGGAGGGAAGGAGGTTGCACCCGCCGGCATCAGCCGTCCAAGGATCTGTCTCAGGTGCGGACCCAAACCCGATGCGCGCCCGTGGATGCGCGCCGACGTCCCACGGGCCACGGCCACACACCACCGGCACAAGTCGCGACCTTTCGATCGATCGACTTCGCCACCACCAGCCCGGTTGAACGGTGGGACGTCGTACAACCTGGCTGGCAGATTTTGAATCGGCTCAAGAACATTTCTCACGTCACGCTACAGCGTTACGTCCCGTCGCGTCGCGTTACGTTACGTTACGTTACGCTACGCCACGTTCAAGCCGAACTCTCAGAGAAATTAACGGCGTTGCGCGAACCTACGAGCCTCGGGGCGCGCGCGCAACTCGCGTGCCGGCCTGTCCAGAACAACACACGCAGTCGACCGCAACCTCCGCTAGCCTTAGCGCGGAGCGCCACGCGCCACCCGCCACCCGCTACACGAGGAACGCGGAGGTATAGCGGGCGGCGCCACGATAACCCTCGCCGTTGCGCGTCCGCTAAGGCTTTCACCGCGTCCGTTTGCGCGGAACGCGAAGCGGAGAGCGCGTTGCGCGGAACCCCCCCATCCCTCTCCCGCCTTCCCCTTCCCGCTTTCGCCACAGTCCAGGTCTCTCCGGCCGCCCCGGTTCTCTCCCGTTGTCTCCTTCCCCACCCGCTTTCCCCTTCCCGCTTCCGCCACGCCGCCTCCCCCCTCCCTCTCCCGTCCGCACGCCAATGTCCCCTCCGCCTCTCAAATTGTTGCGCTTCCGCTTCCGGTTTTCGCCCCCTTCCGCCGCCCGCTCTCGGCGCCACCGGCGCACCCGACCTGCACGCTCCTCCTCGACTTCGTCGGTAAGCGTCATGCGCAGTTTTCTAATAATAGTCACTTCGGCTCGCACACTCGCTCACATTCACAATCACTATCACGATCACGACTACACTTGCTCACCCCGACTTTGGCTTTTCGAAGCGTGGGGTCGCGTTGGCAGTCCGAGTAAGGAACGTTGTACTTTGCGTTGGTCATGTCGACTGCGCCACGAACGACGGACACGTGCGGGAGGAGAACCAATGACAGGAGCGTCACGATGAGCGCGCATGGTGACGGTGCAAAGCGGGATTCTAGCGACGGCGGCCGCGGCCGCCGGTTGTGGGGGGCTTTAAGGAGTACCATTGTGGGAGGTGGAATAAGGAGGAGGGGCTAAGGCGAGTGGAGGGACGAAGTGGAAGAGGAAGAAGTAGGAACTACGACGGATGCTCGTGATTCGCGATATGGCGGTGCAAGAAGGGGAGAGTGGACGCGACACTTCTGCGGCGATAACTCTCCACTAGTGAACCATTCGACGATTAGCTGGCAGCGCGTAGGCTCGTGCAGGAGGGTGATAAACAATGCAGCAAGAATTTGATTTGGTCCTTGGTGTGAGGAAGCACGCGAGTTAGGTTTGGGGGGAGTGGAAGAAGCAAGGATCGTTGGGTTGTTCGAGTGGAGTCGAGTTTTTGGGGAACGGAGAGGCAAAGCAAGTCGAGGAGGGGCGAGAAGAGAGGAGGAGGAGAGGGTGTGATCAACAGTCGAACAGGAAGGATGAGGAGCACCTGAAGTGGGGAAGTGATTCGCTTCAAAGTGGTGGAATCAGGTATTATGAGGTGGAATGGGGTTGCGTGGGTGAATCTGCACGTCACTCGTCTACAGTACCGTACTGCTGGACAATCTGTAAGGACGAAATGGAAAGACGAACCTCCAGACGTGTACAGCTGTGGCAAGGCAAATGCATCGGTTCTGCTTGGTTTCCCTGTTTTCAATCTGTTTCGAGTCTGTTTTGGCTGGGTGGAAGTGCCCCTTTTTGTCGTGATGTTCGCATCTGGTGTATCTTGTCTTGTTTGCCAGGCAACACCATCGAGGCTGGGGTTCAGGTCGGGCGGGGGGAGTATGTGCTGCAGTGGCATACGCCATGGCTGTCGGATGGTCTTGGCTCGACTGGATGTGTTGTAAAAGGGGTTTTATTGCGTTTCAATGCGGTGAATGACGTTTCACTGGGATGGACATGGACTGCTGGATGATGGAGGAAGGATTTTGGCGAAACCGGAGGGGGGAGTGCGGAGCGGGCAGGGTCGGTATGGTTTGGGGACATTCCCCCCGTTATGTGGTGTGTGTGTTGCAAACACACACGGCAGACGTGAGGCACGTCGTGTTTCCAAATCCGTACCGCTAAGCACCAGCCGCAATTTTAAAAGCAGTTGTTGTTGGCCGAAGCTCCGAACCGAAACTTAGGGCACTTCTTTCCATGCATTACTCCTTCATGACCAAGCTAGACGACAAAATCGTTCGGTGGGTCAGTCCTCACTGCACGCGACTGCGTTTGCGTCTGCCTCGCTGTTGGCAGAAGACTACCTGAGTGAAAAAAACGTCACTACTAAGGATAAATGCGCAGTACAGTGGAGTGGGAGTGGCTCTGATTTCAAGAAAAGGCAAAAATACTAGCTACATATCCTCTAGAAGCTGCATAACAAAAAAACCTAACATACATATCTGAACAGTATGGGAAAGCAGCACCGTATCACTTTACAGCATAATGAAACGAACGCGTACGACGATTGTCCTGAAGGCATTTACCACTTCATCCTTTTACACGATCAAATACAGCACAGGATGCCATGGTTGCTGTGCACTGTTCAGCCCTTCAATAATGATCGAGTGTCACCAGCATGCATCCTCACAATCTCGCTATGATCAGCCAGGGGGTAGCATAACATACCACCTTCCCTTGTTCCCCAACTTTCCCAGCTTCCAGTGAGAGTGGCCAAAGCCATGGCAGTGGCAGTGGCATTGGAGAGTTGGCAGCAGCCAGAGGCAGTGGGTGGCAGCGGCAGGGGCAGCGACAGTGGCAGTGGCAGAGGAACTGGCACCGACAGCAGCTCTCAAGTCATTTCAATGTCGCTCTTGAGACTGGATGTAGGCAACAGCGACTCGTCCCCCCCTTCCCCATCATCCCTGTGATCCCCCCCAGCACCACCACCACCACCAGCACCACCACCACCAGCAGCTGCAACAGCACCCGCCGCCGACCCCTCACCAATCTCAAAGCTGGGCACTTCGTATCCACGGTCCCGGTAGAATGAGATAACACACTTGAACATCTCAATCCAGATCGTCCCTGCCGCGGAGATCCCGACAACAATGAGCCAATCCAGCGGCGGGATCGCTTGGAAATGCAGCGCACTGCGGAACCACGAGGAGAACGAGAGCAGCACGCACAGCCCTGCGGTAACCACCATCCCCAGCAGCACCAGCAGGTTCGAAAAGAGCCCCTTTTGGAAGATCGGTTCGGAGGTGGTACGCAGGTGGAAAGACACGAAGCAGGACGAGACGAGCCAGCCGATGAATGCCACTGTGTGTACGTCATTGTTGTTGCTCGGATCGGTCCGGATGGAGTAGGCGAGAGAGAGGAGGGTGGCGACGGCCGTGGCAATGGCTGCTGAGGCGATGGTTGCGAGGAGAGGGAGGTCGAAGAAGGGGCGGGTGGGCAGGCGCGGGCCGTGCAGCATGACATCGGCGTCGGGGAGCTCGGATGTGTAGAAGAAGAGAGAAGCCATGCGGAGCAGCACTGTGGAGACGATTAGCTGGCAGGGCAGCATGGGGTAGCTGGGGAGGAGGGGAAGGGGGGTAAGGTGGGAAGGAGGGTTTGAGGAAATAGATGTTGAGGGAGCGTGGGAAGGGAAGGGGAGAGTGGAGTGGAGAGCAGGGAGATGGGCGATGTGGAGGAAAGCGGTGAAAATAACTATGTAAAAGAAACACCAGGTTTGAGATGTCTGAAAATGAATCCAGATTGTTTTTGAGAGGCCTCAGATCTCGATAGGATGTGAGCAGAGGGGAACGATGATGGGACCATATGGATATGCACGCGCGTGCCCCACCACGACCACAGCACAACGAGTGACAACCCATGCCACTTTGAGACATATCAGAACTGCATGTTTCATGCGGACAGAACAGCAGTGGCATCGTCTGAAGATCATAACAACCGCACAGCGCTACTACTGCCTCGTGCTAACTTTGCTCCCACAACCTGTCTGCTCATCTTAACAGGTGATGCCAGTCACATCATAACCTCTAACGCGCTCTCTACCTCCCTCCCCCTCCCCCTCCCCCTTAATTTCCCCTCCCCCTTCTCCTTCACTCAGCCGACACTTCCCCGTCGCATCCTCTGCTCTACGGACCCGACAGCCCACCCAGCAGCACCAGAAGAAGCACAAGCCCCAGCGTCGAGGCATCTCACAAGCTTCAGAACCCACCTGAGGAACAGCGTGTTCTTCCTGTGACTTCCCAAAAAAACCCACACGCACAAGCCGCAAAGCCGTTCCATGGTCCAAAACGCACCTGAGCCACAGCGTGCCCAGCAGCACCACCAGCGCCAGGCCCAGCTTGCACCCCCCACCCACCCAGCTCCAGCTCCCTATAAGGTTCAGTAAGTTTCAGAGCCTACCCACCTGAGCCAGAGAGTGCCAAGCAGCACGACAAGCGCCAGGCCCAGCTTGCAGCCCAGCTCCAGTGCCAGCCCCTTGCGCACGTTGCTGAGAGCAGCACGTGCCTCCTCGAGAAGGAAGCGCACGGCACCAAAGGAGGGGTCGAGCAGCACCACGGACGCTGCATCTCGCACCGCTGCTGGGGCCGGTCCCACTGCTATGCCCACGTCTGCTGCTGCTAGCACCGACGCGTCTGTCAGGCCTGGGAGGGCCGGGGAAGGGAGAGAGAGGTTCGGGGAGTGGTTCGGGGGTGGGGAGAGAGAGAAAGGTGTTCAGAGAGAGGTTCAGAGGAAGGTTTGGGGAGGTAATTGGGGCAGGGAGATGGACGCTGAGAGCAGCGCGCGCCTCCTCTAGCAGGAAGCGCACGGCACCAAAGGAGGGGTCGAGCAGCACCACGGACGCTGCATCTCGCACCGCTGCTGGGGCTGGGCCCACTGCTATTCCCACGTCTGCTGCTGCTAGCACCGACGCGTCTGTCAGGCCTGGGGGGTGAGGGAAGAGAGGGAGGGGTTCAGGGAGAGGCTTGGTGAGAGGTCCGGGGGTAGGAAGATGGTGTGTGGGTGGGAGGGAGGCGCATGGCGTGGATTTGAGTTGCTATCTTCCAGCAGGAAGCGCACGGCGCCAAAGGAGGGGTCGAGCAGCACCACGGACGCTGCATCTCGCACCGCTGCTGGGGCCGGTCCGACCGCTATGCCCACGTCCGCTGCTGCTAGCACCGATGCATCTGTCAGGCCTGGGAAGGGCGGGAAGGGAAGGAGGGCGGGTAAGGGGGTCAGAGAGCTCCCAACTAATTGACCATGCACACACTCGAAAAGAAAAGAAAAGAAAAGAAAAGAAAAGAAAAGAAAAGAAAATAAAATAAAATAAAATAAAATAAAATAAAATAGAATAAAATAAAATAAAATAAAATAAAATAAAATAAAATAAAATAAAATAAAATAAAAGCTAGAGGTAGCGCGTGCGTGGGCAATGCTCATGGTAGTAGTGAACACAGTCCCCCACACACACACCACCATTTCCCCCATACACCACCAAACATTCCGCCTCCCCATTTCCCCTCTTCTACCTGCAACAAAACCCGTCCTCCCGCCTCTTCCCTTACTAGCCCACCCTCTCCCCCCTCTTCCCCCCTTTCTCGCATCCACCCCTGCGTTACCCCACCCATCTGCCCTCACTTGACCCACATGCGGTCACGAGTTGTCCGTTCATCTGAAAAGCATCCAGAATGCAGAGCTTGTCCGTGGGGGACATGCATGCATGCCAGCACACTCACATGCAACACCCAGCCCCCCTCGCCATCCTCAACCCGCCCTCCCCCTCCCACTGCGCTCTCACTTGATCCGCACGCCGCCACGAGCTGCCCGTTCATCTGCAGAGCTTCCAGAATGCAGAGCTTGTCCGTGGGGGACGCGCGCGCCACCACACTCGTGCCCGCCACCAGCGCCCGCAGCTCCTCGCCCGTGCTCTGCGCTGGGGGGCGCTCTGTGCATGAAATCGCATCTTGTTGCACCTCCTGCTGCTGCACCTGCCAGGAGGGAGAGAGAAGCAGGAAGGGGAGGGGGAGGGGGACCGGGAAGGGGGGGATGGCGGGATGGGAGGGACGAAGGGTGGAAGGAGGAGTGAATGGTCTAGGTGCCTCAAAGAAAGAGACTCATATTGTATGGCACCATGCCACCACACTCGTGCCCGCCACCAGCGCCCGCAGCTCCTCGCCCGTGCTCTGCGCTGGGGGGCGCTCCGTGCATGAGATGGCGTCCTGCTGCACCTCCTGCTGCTGCACCTGGTGGTGGGGGCGGGGGGGGGGGGGGGGGGAGGGGAGGGAGGAGAGGAAAGGGGAGAGAGATGGAGGAACGGGATGGATTTTAGAGCCTCAAGAGGCGTCTCGACTCGTGACTCTGTTGCTGCGACCTGCTGCACTGCACACTGCACCTGCTGTTGCTGCAGCACCTGCACGGAGGGATAGGTGGGAGGGAGGGAGAGAAGTGGATGTTCTAGGAGGGACAGGAGTGCTCAAAGAATGACTCGTAGTATTCAGCACAGCATCCTGGTGAGTTTCCTGCTGCTCAACCTACTGGGGAAAGGTCGGAAGGGGGGAGTGGGGAGGAGCCGACTGGTGGCCGGTCAATAAATTGGGGTAACGGGTGGGCAAGAGGTACGGAGCATTACTCCCTTACCTGGTGCGGGTAGCAGATGGCAGCAGCTCTAGCCACAGGCGTGGCCGTCCGCAGATAATCCCCTGTGAACAGCACAGGGCGCACCCCGGCAAGGCGGCAGCAGCGTGCAGCAGCAGCAGCAAGTGTTGAAACATATGGAACCCCCCTCACCTGGTGCGGGTAGCAGATGGCAGCAGCTCTCGCCACAGCCACGGCCGTCCCCAGGTGATCCCCCGTCACCAGCACAGGGCGCACTCCGGCAAGGCGGCAGCAGCGCGCGGCAGCAGCGGCGTCAACGCGCGTGGGATCGGAGAGAGCAACGAGGCCGAGGAAGGTGCAATCGGCGATGGAGGAGACGAGGGCCGTCCGCGAGGAGGAATGCCGCGGGCTGGAGTGATCGGGTGTGCTGCCAGACGCATAGCCCACTAGCGTGTAGCCTGCAATATGGGAGGTGGGGGGAGTGAAGAGGGGAAGGGAGTGTGGGACCAACCGCCAAGGAGGGAGGAGGGGGAATGGGGGGAGGGGAAGGGCGTGGGAGGGAGGGGATGTTGAGAGAGGCCGAGGAAGGTGCAATCGGCGATGGAGGAGACGAGGGCCATGCGTGAGGAGGAATGCCGGGGGCTCGAGTGATCGGGTGTGCTGCCAGACGCATAGCCCACTAGCGTGTAGCCTGGGGTAAATGGGGGAGGTGGGGGGGTTGGGTGACGGGGTGAAGGGCGTGTGGGGGGCAACCGGCGAGGAGGGGGGAAGAGGGAAGGGGAGGAGGGAAATGCCGTGGGCTGGAGTGATCGGGTGTGCTGCCAGATGCATAGCCCACTAGCGTGTAGCCTGGGGTAAATGGGGGAGAGAGAAACGGGTGGCAGGATTGGTGGGAGGAGAAAAAGGGGAAAGATTATTGTAGAGCTGCTGAAGAGGAAATCATATGTACGGTGTGTTTATTTACCCATGCTTTCATATCATACGCCTACGTCCTATGCACTTAACCATGCACCCGTCACGGGCCAGCCAGTCACGACTGTCCCATCCCATCCTACCTTGGTCGGCGAGCTCCTGAATGCGTTTGAGCAGTGCGGGGCGGAGGGAAGCGATGGATTCCGCCTCGCCATGGCACAGCACGCTGCCGCACTGCTCCACCAGCACCTCTGGCGGGCCCCGCACGTACACCCTCTCACACACCTCGCCCTCCCCCCCACCCCCACCGCCTCTTGCTGCTGCTGCTGTGGTTCCTGCTGAGTCGCCTGCCTCTGTCGCTGCTCCGTTTTGTGCTGCCGCCCTGCGGTCGGGTAAACGGGGGGAGACGGGAAAACGGGTGGCACTGGCAGGTTAGGTCGGTATATGGATTTGTGGGGGGGAAACTAGTGGGGATTGGCTGGAAGGAGGAAGCGGGTTGAGAAAAGGGTCTATCTCAGACAGACAGGCATCTGCAGCAAGACAAATTTTAAGGTCGACTTGAATGGAAAGGACAAGAGGGACTGAAGCGTTTAACAACACGCTTCTCTCCGACACCCAGCATACATTGATGGAGTGAAAGAGCACCATGAGAAGAGGCATCAGCAGTAAAGAGGTGCAGATAAAGCATGGTAGGTAAAGGGCCAGGTAAGGGGGTAGGTAAGGGATAGGCAAGTCTCAGGTTTCACACAGCGTACCGTCTCCCCAGCGCCAGCAGCTTCTGCTGCACCGACTTGCCCCGTTTCGACGCCGCAGCCGCCACACCCCCCTCTGCCACCGCCACGGGCACATTGGCATACGTTCTCGTGGCACACTTCAGCACCGCATCATACGGGGTATCCGCCAGCCTATCAGCTGCAGCCTTGGCCTCATAGCACCGCCTCAGCATGTCGTGTAACGGTCGGAGGCCTCTCGTGGACGCTACTGCTGCTGCTGCCGCTGCTACGGCTGCCTCTTCCTCCCCTTCTAGACCCTCGTACGGGAGGCTTGTTAGCACTGACGGGCCGCCGACTGCTGCGAGAATCGCCCAATCGAGCGTGTCCACGTGGCCTCCTCTGGCTGCCACGTCAGCAGTGCGCACGCCTCCTCCTCCTACTCCTCCTGCTCCTCCTCCTGCTGCTCCTCCTGATGATGCTAGCCCTTTGGGGCCGGTAGACAAAACTGAGCCGCCGTCCAACAGAGACTCGCTCTGCTCCTCGCTCTCTCCAATGTCAATCTGCAACGCCGCTCCAGCTCCTGCGTCCTTCGCCTCTTTCGCCACTCGTGCAAGGAACTCCGCTTCTGACGACGGCGACGATGCACCATCTGCTGCACCCGAAGATGATCCCACTCCTCCTCCATCTGCTGCCCCCCCGTCTGCTAACCCACCAGCAGAAGACCCAGCAACAGCAGAAGCAGCAGAAGCACTGAGAGAGGACAAGCTTCCCCTGCTGCTGCTGCTGCTGGTGCCTCTCCGTCTCTTCATCCCCGTACTATCCCTCAGCAGATCGTCCCCCATATCAGACATGAACACCCACGCCTCAAACAGCCGTCCCAGCGCATTCATCGCACCGTCCTCCGCCAAAGGCCCTGTCTTGGGCACCGCTCTCGTCGCCTCTGCTAGATCCTCCGCCCCCACAGGCGTGTCTGCTACCATCAGCTCGTGCAGAGCCAGCTTGTTTTCCGTTAAGCACCCAGTTTTGTCCGTGAGAATGGTGTCGACGAAGGAGAGGTTCTCTATTGCCTTCATCTGCTGGAAGAATATTTCGTTCGCTTCCAGTCGGTGGCTGCAGGCCCCGAGCGTGGAGTAGAGCAGCGCGGGCAGGTCGTCGGGTAGCGTGGCGAAAAACAGCACGAGAGAGACGAGCAGGATATCCTGCCACGGTTGCTGCCGAAACACCCCTAGCGCCGCAGCCATCACACTGACCCCGACCGACGCGAATGCAATCTGCCGAGCGGCCGAGCGCAGCAGCAGCAGCAGCGGGGAGGTCTCCCCTCCGCCTCCGATCCGCATCGCGTGCACGTGCGAGACAGACGCGAGCTTCTTCCCGATCTCCGTCTGCATGCCGGTGCGGAAAACCACACCCGAGCCGTACCCGCAGGTGACCATGGTGCCGGCGAGAGCGATGTTCTGGCACCCGATCGGGGTGGCTTTGGCGGCGGGGTCGAGGGTGACGGAGGCGTCTTTGGGGCAGGGCGCTGCTTCCCACTCGCCGGATACGCCCGACTCGTCGATCTCGAGCAGCGTGCAGTGCAGCAGACGCACGTCCGCTGGGACCTCCTGGGGGTGGGACAGGACGGGGGCGCGTTGGGGAAGAAGAGGGGGAGGAAGAAGGGGCGGGGGGGGTGGGAGGAGAAAAGGGGGGGTGAGGGGTTTAGACGACTCGACGCAAAGACTGTGGAGAGGGAAAGAGGGCGTTGGGGAGGTGGGAGAAGGGAGGAGGGGAATGTGGAAGACGGAACATCTTTGGGGCAGGGCGCTGCTTCCCACTCCCCGGATACCCCAGACTCGTCGATCTCGAGGAGCGTGCAGTGCAGCAGACGCACGTCCGCTGGGACCTCCTGAGAGGTGGGAGAGGGCGGAAGAAGAAGTGGAGGGTTTACAGTCAGTTCCAAGATAGTGCGGAGGGAGGGATGGTATTGCAGAACCGTCTGCCAACACTGTGCCACCACCACCACACTCCTTCACACACCGCACGCTTGCAAACGACTCTTTCAATCACCACCATGCCTCATTGGAGTCATGTCATCGCAGGCACCCACCATGCCGGATCGCAGCACCACGACGTCCCCCCGCACCAGGTCCGCACGGGTCACGGCCACAGCTGCTGCCGCAATCATGGGAGGCAGCAGAACTGGGATGTGCCTGCACTACACTACTGCCTGCCTGCCCACACACACCGCAAGCATCATACTTCTTCCATCCAGGCACCCACCATGCCGGATCGCAGCAGCACCACGTCCCCAGGCACCAGGTCCGCACGGCTCACAGCCACAGCCGCACCGTCCCTCAGCACCAGGGCGTCGTGCGGCGCTGCCAGGCTGGCAGCCGCCAAGCAGTGCCGCCCGCGCCACTCGGCGTAGAGGTGGAGCAGGAGGAGGGCGAGCGAGCAGAGCGCGCCGAGTGTGGCTTCTTCTGGGGGTGTGAGGCCTGCGAAGAGGACCACCAGCGCCAGGAGGAGCAGCTGAGGGGTGACATGCGGTGGGGTAGGGTGGGGTGGGGTGTGGTGGGGTGTGGTGTGGTGTGGTGCGAGTGCAGGGAGGGAGAGAAAGGTTGTTGGGTAAGGGTGGGAGGTGGGGGAGGATGGGGGTGGGAAGAGGTGGGGGAAAGGGGAATGGCGGGTTGCAGGTGGGGTTGCAATCGCAGATCAATGTGATTACTTTAAAGAAGGAAAGTCAGGGAAGTACTAGTGACGAATCACGGGGGAATGGACAGCTGCACTAGAGCGGAAAGAAGGGAGCACGAGCGAGAATGGGGAGAGCAGGGAGAGGGGGAGCATGGGGGGGTGAAGTGGGGAAGGGGCGGGGAGAGAAGAGAAGCAGACGCAAGAGTGGGTGGAGAATAAGTTTTGAGACGTCTCAAAACTGGAAGTGGGGAAGGGGCAGGGAGAGAAGCGAGAAGAGAAGTAGGCGCAAGCAAGAGAGGGTGGAGGACAGATCAGGGCAGGGGGCAAGACAGGGCAAGAGAGGGCGACGCACCCGTGTGGGCGTGTAGAGATGGGCGAGGAGGAAGAGCGGGAAGGAGGGCACGGGCATGGTTTCGTATTCGTTGCGGCCGTGCTTCAGCAGGCGTGCTGCCGCCACCTCACGAGGCAAGCCTGACGCCTCCACCACGTGTAATATGCTGGCATTCACATGGGCACACGGGAGGAAGGGCGGAAGGGCGGAGGGGGAGACGGGGCGAAGGCGAAGGGGGCGAAAGGCGAATGGGGAGAAGGTGGACAAAAAGGAGGAAAGGAGGAAAGGAGGAAGGGAGGAAGAGGGGAGGGGGGAAGCGCAAGGAAGCAGAGTATCAGTAAGGTGATTCCTGCTATTGTCCAACATGCAGGGAAAGGATGAATGAATCGAAGAGGTATGCGCAGCTCTGTGTTGCGCGGCTCACATGCCACTGTCATGGATGAGTGAAACGAGTGTGTGTGTGTGTGGTGGCCACTGGCCACTGCCACGGCGTTGCAGTGCAACATGAGCGTCCTGCCGTGCAAGGCGCCATGTGCGCGGAGGAGAGCATAAGCACGGCGGCTTGTGCGCGCGCGGCGGCAGCAAGTGCATGAGTGGCAGGTAGGTAGGTAGGTACCGGCAGACAGCAGCAGCGGAGGTGGCCCAGGGAGGGGGGTCCATGTTAATCTGCACGTCCTTGCCCCGCCGCCTCCACTTCAACCGCGCCCTCATGCCACCTGCAATGTATGCGCACGTCGGCGCCGCGGGAGGGGGCGGAGCACGCGGACGGGGGAAGCGGAGGGGGGATGCGGAGGGGGGAAGCGCGTGTAGGGGGAACGCGGGGGGGGGAATGCGGAAAGGGGAATGCGGAAAGGGGGAATGCGGAAGGAGGAACGCGGAGGGGGGAATGCGGTGTGAAGAAAGAGGAGAGTCCAGGACGCAACAATTGACTCGCGCGCTTCTTGATCGTCGTCGTTGCTAGCACGAGACGCGGTAGAAGACAGGCCAGCAGCGGGACGGCTCGCAACGGCATCCACGGCGGTCAGCAGTGCAAGATACACATCAAACAGCGGGGCAGACGCCAGGCAGCGGGATGCACGGCGAGTAGCGAGATTCACGGCGCCAGTAGCGCAAGATACACAGAATTCACGAGCAAAACGCACTTTTCCAACCACCATTCCCTGCCTTACTCTCCGGCGACGACTTACTCGGCAGCTGCGACCATGCGACCGGCATGACGACAGCGCACAGCACGACGGAGAGCGCGAAGAGACCGTTGTACAGGTACGGCAAGCCGGGAACTTCCCAGTCCGTCGCGACGCCTAGGATTGCAAAGAGCAGCGCCGTCGCCGCTAGGCCGAGTCCCCCGATCGTCCCCCATACGTGCGGCGGAAGCACCTGCAGATCTGGCTGCTCCACGCGCCGCCGCTCTGAATTCCGCGAGCGCGACGGCATTGCGGATTGGACAGGCGATGCGACGCGCCGCGCGCGTAGAAGAAGGAAGGGATGGGTGTGAAAAAAGCGGGGGAGAGGTGGTTTTCGGGTCGAATGAGGGGAATTTCGGGGTGGAAAGGTCAGGCGGGCGGACCGAATCTAGGGAATCCCAGGAATTAGCGCACTAGTCATGGAGGCCGGTGCTTCGAGCGTGTATCACGGGGATCTTCCCCCCCAGATCAGCACATGCCTGCACAAACCCATATCGGAAGGAGCGTAACGACTAGCAACATGCCGTTTCCCAGATGTGGCTGGCAGCAGCAAGGCGAAGGTCCCATGCCATTGGGATTGCCGAGCATTCTCGAGAATAGGGTGCTGTCGTACTCTAGGCTTCGAGAATATGGGATCTTGGCTGGTTTTGTTGGTGGACGAGGAGTGCGTGTACAATGCCTCCTGGCAAACGCGACTACAGTATGCAATTGCCTTTATAACAAACATTTCATTAACATCCTTTGCAGATAATGGATTGGCTATATTGGTATGAACAAAGTTCATAATAGAACAGCGCAGCTTCTTTACAGAACGACAATAACATATGCGGATTCTCCCGCATAAAGAAATCTAGGATTCTTTTCCTGCTTCGATATCCCCTTGAAGCCTTGCCACTGCCGCTTCCACCTCTTCCAACAAAGGAAGCAAGCGCAGGAACGGCAACGCAAGCAGAGACGAGAGATTGCACAGTAGAACAAGCAAGGCAAGGTTATGGAAATTGGTGCTCGTAACACCAAGCATCTCTGTGAGAAGAGCTCCGAGCAATCCGCTTAGTACGTTCGCCCCGTTGTTAACCGACATCAAGGCGGCAAATAAGGTGGCCTCGATTCCGGGAGGGCAGAGACGAGCCGCAAGCACGAGGATGGGCATGAAGGAGATCTGGTTGGGGGGGGGAAGGGGGGGGGAGGAGGGGAGGGGAGTGGGGTGGGTTGGGTTGAGGGGCAGACAGAAGAGGGAGAGAGAAGGATGCACGAGCTATCTCCGTCGCATGCAAACGGACGTTAAGTAGACTTGCATGAAAACAAACCCACACAACTTCCCACCACACCGGTACCAGCACCCACACCACCTGCCAAACCAGCTCCCACACCACCTGCCACACCACCTGCCACACCATCTGCCCCTGCCCTTTGCTACCAGCAACGTTTACCATGCATGCACCCGGTGGCCCCCACCCCACGCACCTGGCCGAGAACAGTGAGAATGAGGCTGTCCCCCAGGGCAAAGTAGTGGTCGCTGATGCCCAGCGTGCGGTTCACTCCCGTCACCAGCAGCAACTGCCCTCCCACATACAGCACCTGCCCCTGCCCCTGCCCTTTCCAGCCAATCCCTTCAGCTGCGCATGCACCGGTGGCCCCCGCCCCACGCACCTGGCCGAGGACAGTGAGAATGAGGCTGTCCCCCAGGGCAAAGTAGTGGTCGCTGATGCCCAGCGTGCGGTTCACTCCCGTCACCAGCAGCAACTGCCCTCCCACAGAGAGTCACGCACACACGCGCATACCGGCAGACACACATGCATGCACACACACAGAGACACACAGACACGCGCGCGCACACGCACGCATGCACGCACGCACGCACGCACGCACGCACGCACGCACGCACGCACGCACGCACGCACGCACGCACGCACACAAACACACGCACGCACGCACACACACACACACACACACACGCACGCACACACACACACACACACGCACACACACACACACACACACACACACACACACACACATATGTGAGCATTGGCAGTGATGAGAGGTGGAAGCAATAAAGGAAAGAGGACAATGGGGCGTGGAAGAATGAGAGGTATTCCAAGAATGCCAGCAGACACACTGCATGTCCTCTCCACTGAGACGACTTTTGAGGCGCCTCAAAAGAATGCCAGCAGACACACTGCATGTCCTCTCCACTGAGACGACTTTTGAGGCGCCTCAAAAGAATGCCAGCAGACACACTGCATGTCCTCTCCACTGAGACGACTTTTGAGGCGCCTCAAAAGAATGCCAGCAGACACACTGCATGTCCTCTCCACTGTCACCCTCTTCCCCAGCCCTTCACCACCCACCGCGCCCTCCTCTCCATCCCACCCCCTCTTTCCCACTCTTCTCCCCTACTTCTCCACTCTTCCCTCCCACCTCCTCCCTCCTCCCTACCACCATCCCATCACCGCCCCCACCTGGGTGCAGCCGAGAGCGGTGCCGAGCAGGTTGCTCCAGAGGAAGATGCGCTGCAGCGGCACGTGCTTCAACCAGAAATTGTACACCCCCACCCCCACCAGCGATGCCACTGACGTCACCAGGCGCACAAAGGAATGACCTCCTACCTCGTCCCATCTGCCACCCACCTCACCTGTCCCCCACTCCCCTCCCAACTCCCCACCACCCTCCCCTTTCCCCACTCCCCATTCCCACACCTCCCTCCCCCCCCACCTCAGACCCAGCACAATCGCCCACCTGGGTGCAGCCGAGAGCGGTGCCGAGCAGGTTGCTCCAGAGGAAGATGCGCTGCAGCGGCACGTGTTTGAGCCAGAAGTTGTACACCCCCACCCCCACCAGCGATGCCACTGACGTCACCAGCCGCACCCGCCCTAAGAACTCTGCCCCGAACCCCAGCTGGTTCGTGCTGGTTATGATGAGGCGTGTGGGGCGGTTAGGGGAGCAATTGGGAAGCAGAGAGAGGAGGACGAGTTTTAGGACCCTCAAGACGCAATGCTCTTATGTTACCAGCCACACCCGCCCTAAGAACTCTGGCTTGAAGCCCAGCTGGTTCGTGCTGGTTATGATGAGGCGTGTGGGGTGGTTTGGAGGGGAAGAAAGTCGGATGCGCAGGATTTTAGAGGACATGCATAACGAGTTATACAGGGAAGAAATACGGGGAGGTCGGGGGAGGGAGGGGAGGGAGGTAGCAACTGGAGAAAACGGAGACAGGAAAGGGGGACGGGTGGGAGTTTACATGCGAGAGACAGAAATAGTAGGAGGAGGAGGTATGGGGTGTGGAGATAAGGGCACGGCTGTGGTTATGTTATGCTGGTTATGAAGGTGTGGCTGTGAGCTTGGTGCAATGCAAAAACGCAGCAGAACACAGGTGACATGGCAGACACAGGTGGCAGACAGACACAAGTGACATGGCAGACACAGGTGACATGGCAGACACAGGTGACATGGCAGACACAGGTGACATGGCAGACACAGGTGACATGGCAGACACAGGTGACATGGCAGACACAGGTGGCAGACAGACACCGGCGCAAGCAAGCAACTCACGTGAAGAAGAACATGGCGGTATCTGAGGAAGGTGTTATCTGCCAGAGGAAGATGAAGAGTGTGGGCATGAGGATGCTGGGTTGACGGATAGTGGCCCATAGATACAGCGCCTGTGCGCGCACATCCATGGCAGGGATGGGGGATGATGCGTGGGAGTGTGTGTGAGAGGAGGTGCAGGAGGAGGCTGTGGTGGAGGAGGTGGAAGAGGAGGAGGAAGGGGTGGGAGTGCTGGAGGTGAAAGGGGGTTCTGTAGAGGGATGGTGCTCTGAGTGGTGCTGTTGCTGGGGGCTTGCGTTGGTGGGTGGAGCAGGGGGAGTGGCAAAGTTGGGAGGGTAAGGGGAGGAGAAAGGAGACGATTCGTTGATCGCAGGTGTGGGGTTGATTGGGACTTGCTGCTGCTGCTGCTGATGATGATGATGTTGATGATGGGGGTGGTGGGGGTCGTATGACTGTTGAGAATAGTGGGTTGTTGCAGGATCAGAAGGTGCTGAAGCATATGGACGGAGCAGGGGCATCTGTTGCTCACTCTCACCCATTCCAACCGCACTCCCATCCGCCGCACCCCTTACCCCCCCTCCACGACCTTCCTTAACCCCTTCCGCACCGTCCCTTCCTCCCACCATCCCTCCAATCCCCATTCTCACCCCCCCAACTCGCTCACTTTGACTCATGTGACCCAGCTCAATCAATACATCCCCATGGGAGGAGGACGATAGGCCAGGCGGGTGAGAGGAGGAAGAGGAGGAGAGAGCAGGGGAGGCAGACAGGCCAGGGGCAGAGAGGGGAATGAGAGGAGCGGATTCTGAAACAGAATCCGTGGGGAAGAAGTGGGAGGAGCGTTTGGAGGAAGAGGAAGAGGAGGGAGGGGAGGAGGAGCGAGGAAGGGACGAGAGGGAGGTAAGCTGGTGGCTTTGTTGTTGTTGATGGTGCTGGTGTTGGTGGTGCTGGTGATCGTCTTCAACTGTGAAGATCCCAGCAATAGATGTGATAAGGGGAAGAACAGCAGTCACGGCAAACACAAACCTGCCGGCAAGGGAAGAGGCGTGCATTAAAGATGGTTGAAGGAATGAAGGATGATGTGGGTGGGGTACTGGATTGATGAGAGCTGGATACGATCCCAAACATATAAGACCCATTGCTAATTCTCAAAATCCCATGCATACATAAAGACTGTCACATAAAGACTGCTGTAGTATGCCCCTCCCCCTCACCTCCCACCCTTCATTCATCCACCCCTCAATCACTGCATCCCCAACATCCCCCCTCACTTACCTTGTGCCGTACATCTCCACCAGGCTACCGCTCCAGTACGCGCTCACAATCCCTCCAACCGCACTGGACCCCCAGCACAGCGACTGCAGCGACCCGGCCATGCTCTGGTCCTCGCCCCGTGCTCGCTCCACCACCAGCGAATCCACGACCACGTCAGACATGGCGACCGAGAGCGAGGAGAGCAGGATCATTGCGACAGTGGAGTACTTGTCGTGGACTACCATGGCCAGGAGGGCCCATGCAGCGGCGCCCACGAAGCCGCAGAGAATGAGGTAGGAGCGGCGGCGGGAACCAAAGAGAGGAAAGCCGTCACTGGCGGGGCGTGAAAGGGGTAAGGGGGGGGTGGTTGGGTGGAACGGGAGGATGGAAGGGGATTGGTGGTGAGAAGTGTGGGCTGTGAGAAGGAGAGCGAGGAGAGCAGGATCATGGCAACGGTGGAGTACTTGTCGTGGACTACTGTGGCCAGGAGGGCCCATGCAGCGGCGCCCACGAAGCCACAGAGAATGAGGTAGGAGCGGCGACGGGAGCCGAACAGGGGGAAGCCGTCACTGGCGGGGGTGAGGGAAAGGGGAGGGGAGGGGAGGGGAGGGGAGGGGAGGGGAGGGGAGGGGAGGGGAGGGGAGGGGAGGGGAGGGGAGGGGAGGAAATGCATGGAAAAGGGAGCGATTGGGAAGGAGATTGGTTCAGGAGAGCGAGGAGGATCATTCGTGGAGTATTTGTCGTGCACGAGCGTGGCGAGGAGGGCCCATGCAGAGGCACCCACGAAGCCACAGAGAGGGGAGGAGAGGCACGAGGGGGGAGGATGGAAAGGAATTCAAAGGTCTCAGCGCGTGAGAAGGAGGGCGAGCGGCGGAAAGTGCTTATGGGATGGGACAGGATGGGATGGGATGGGATGGGATGGGAGGGGATGGGATGGGATGGGATGGGAGGGGATGGGATGGGATGGGATGGGAGGGGAGGGGATGGGATGGGATGGGATGGGATGGGATGGGAGGGGAGGGGATGGGATGGGATGGGATGGGATGGGATGGGATGGGATGGGATGGGATGGGATGGGATGGGATGGGATGGGATGGGATGGGATGGGATGGGATGGGATGGGATGGGATGGGATGGGATGGGATGGGCATGGTGCAGATGGCATGGTGCAGATGGCATGGTGCAGATGGCATGGTGCAGGCTCAGTTGCATGACGCACCTTAGGAAGCCATATAGAGGCTTGATGAGCCATGGCAGTGTGGCGAGCCCAGACAGAATTGCCGTCTGCAGGGAGAGGGAGACGGAGAGATGGGGAGAGGCGGGAGACGGGGAGATGGCAAAAGGGGAGACGGGAGAGCCGGGGGGATAAGGAGAAGTTGATGGACAGATTGGGTGCCGCAGCAGCGGCGGCGGCGGCAGCAGCAGCAGCAGCAGCAGCACATGCACACCTCAGCGGGGTCGAGTCCGAACTCGTCCTTGAGGAAGAAGCTGACAGCCAGGCGTGCAAGCCCCAGCACGCCCTGCACAGTATTTGAGTCGACTCACAAATCAGCAACAACTGCACATGCGCACCTCAGCAGGGTCTAACCCAAACTCGTCCTTGAGGAAGAAGCTGACAGCCAGGCGTGCAAGCCCCAGCACGCCCTGCACAAAGTACACCAGCGCTATCGCCACTATGTCCGCTGTCAACGGCAGGCCCAGCCCCGGCACCATCCACTGCTGCTTCCTCCTTCCCCCACCACCACCCCTTCCCTCTCCCTCCACCCCTCCTCCTCCTCCTCCGCCGCTGCCGCCACCGACGATGATGAAACTGCTGCTGCTGCCGCTGCTCCTGCCGCTGCCTCGGCTTCTGGTGCTGCCGCTGCTGCTGTTGCTGCTGCTGCATGCACTGCCTGTAGTGGTCTCACGGTTAGTCCCATCGCCAGTGCTCCCCCCGTCCAGGCCAATCTCTGCCTGCCATCCCAACCATCCCAATCCCCCCATCCCCCTCCTCCACGCTTGCCTCAGCCGCCGCACCAACCTCCCTCCTGCCAACGCCCCAACCAACCCCCCTGCTGCTCCGGTTCCTCTGCCGCGCACCACCCTTCCCCTGGCCCTTCCCCCTGCTAGCCCCCCTGCACCGATCCCCCTCATGTGCGCGCCTGGATGCCAGTCCAAGCCAAAGGTAGACCCTAGATCAGCAACGCTCTGCTGGTACCATCGCACAGCATCAGCGGGGAGAGACCAGGGGAGGGCCCAGGGGGGGAGCCATGCACGGTGCGCTGCCCATGGCCATGCTCGTGACTGTGACTGTGGATGGGTGTTGTTGGCATGCGTCTCATGCACATGGGTGCTGCTGCTGCTGCTACCAGCAGGTTCGGAGATGCACGGCTCGATTTCCCACGACGACGAATGGAAGGGGTGAAGGTGAGTGCCGCCAGAAATAACAGCAGCAGCAGCAACGGCACCACCACCAGCACCAGCACCACCACCAGCACCACCACCAGCACCACCACCATTACCATTACCACCAGCATCGCTCCCTGTATCTGGAATCAATCCTTTAGATGAGCTGTTGCGGGCGGCTGGTACAGGACACACAGCCGCAGATGCCAGCAAAGATTGCTGGAATGATGACGTGGTGTTGACGTGTGCAGGGGGGTCTACTTGGACAGAAACGGACGATGACGTGGACTGGTTCAGAGGCTGGAAGGAGGAGGGGAGAGATGCAAGCGCAGCAGCTGAAAGTGTGTGTGTGTGTGTGTTTGAGCAAGAGGAGAGTGGTGCAGGGAGAGAAAGGACAGAGAGGGTGTTGGAAAGGAGATGAAGGGTAGTGAGAAGTATGGAAATTCCGGTCCACAGCAGGACGATTATCCACCCGACGAGCTTCAACCACGACTAAAGAACAAACGAAAGTCTACTCCAAAGCTGTCCACCAGTAAATTTCTGTCTGTGCGTGAAAGAGGCTGTTTGGGTCGACGTATATCATCGAAACAAACGATTTTGCGAACCCTAAAACGCGATTTCATGACAATGAAGGCAAACAAAGCCATCTCTTGCCTCTTTACGCTACCACCCAGAATTCCCCCGCCATCGGCGTACCTTCCTTCCCTTTCTCGCGCGAATCCACAGGCATCACAGCGCGAGGAGCGCTCGCATCCTCCCACCCGCAATGCACGGCGGCATTCCCGCCCTCCCGGTGAATTAACGCCTCGCGTTGCGTCTGACGACCTCCGCGCTTTCCCAACCCAGCGACCTTGGCTATTCTCTCACTGCCGTCGCTCCCGCCGCTTTTCGCGCTGCCACCGCTGCTGGTGCTGCTGTGGGCAACCGTTCCCAAGCTGCCGCTCATTGTGGCAGGAGAGCCAGCGAGCAGGTATACAGCGAAAGCCCGCGATTGCGGGCCTAGCGCGTGGAAGTGCGGTGTAGCGAAAGCTTGACGATCGCGAGCATCAAGATCCTCGGATTTTCCGCAAGGCGAGAATTGGTGTGCCGTGCGGTTCGAATTGCGAGGTGTTTGGCGCACCATAAATTGCACGAAGTTGTGTGCCGTCGCTTGAAACCGCCGAATAGAATTTGGTCCGCGGTTGGTGATGATGTGGGTTGGGTTGGGTGCTGGTTGATGGGAGCACAGCGGAACTTATTGGCTACCCCGTTAATATATGATATATTTTGTTTTTAAGATTCTTATGTTCGAACCACGATTATTTCACAGAAACCTTGTTTCAGATAATAGGGCCACCTGTACCCACAAAGCTTACCTCCGTGGAGTGCAAATGTGCAGACTGGGCTCAGCTCCTCCAGCGTGGCTCCCAGCACAGTCTGACGTCACACCCTGCTAGGTGGAATGCAGTGACAGTAATCTTGGAACAGAATCAGCTCAGCGAATAGGATCATCGGGCCCTCCCAGTCTTGACGTATGCGCAGCCGACCCGAAGCCAACTCCCCCACCAGTACAATCTCAAGGCAAGAGGGGAGAGAAATCCTCATCTCCTCACGCAACCTGCTGCCCCCCTTCCGCGCCCCCCCACTCTCCCCTTGTCTCCCTCTCGCCCGCCCTCCGTATTTTCCTTTACCGGAGTGCCCGCAACCCATTCCCCCACTTCCTTTCCTATCCCGCCCGCAAGCGTTCCGCGCAAGGCATTTGCGAACCCCCCTTTTTGCGCCTATCCCCCTTGTCCTCCCTGTCTTGAAATTCCGCGCAAACCTTGTCATTCCAATTTTCCCTGAACCAAGCCTCTCCCCTAAACGGCTAGGCGAATTCTCCAATTCGCCATTTTCACCGCGTCTCCTATCTCTGCTCGTCAGTTCCTTCGGCCTCCATTCTCCGTTATTCGAATCGCCCTAGCATTCGAATATGGCCTCAGCCGTCTCGACCTCGCAGGTCCTGTCCGTCGGCAAGCTCGCTGCGGCTGACGTGAGCAGCGCGAACCAGGCGTTCCAGGGAGTGAAGTTCTGCCCCGCGCAGAAGATGACCAGCAAGAAGGACGCCGGCCGCCTTGAGTGCAAGGCCGTCGCGACCGAGAAGACCTTCGTGACCACCAAGTCCGAGGAGATCTTCAAGGCCGCCAAGGTTCGTCAGCATGATTTTTTTTTTTTTTTATCGGACAATTTCCGTCTAAGGAGCTTCCCCGTCCAATTCGTCTCGCTGAACCGATCACACGAGAATTCGTCAAATTGGATTCTTTTTCCCCTAATTATCTTCAAAGCTCTGCTGAACGACTAAATTGCCTTCTGTATTCCCAATTACCTGGATTGGTCATGGCGATGTGTGTGTGCAGGAGCTGTTGCCCGGAGGTGTGAACTCGCCCGTGCGCGCGTTCAAGTCCGTTGGCGGACAGCCGATTGTGTTCGACCGCGTGAAGGGCTCGCACGCGTGGGACGTGGACGGCAACGAGTACGTGGACTATGTCGGCTCGTGGGGCCCTGCCATCATCGGCCACGCCGACGACGAGGTAAGACCGGCCTTGTTTGAAGAGTGGATGTGGATGTGTCGTCGTAGAACTGCGTAATTATGTTTTCTACCCTTCTTTCAGACGCGTGGTTCCCAATCCCTCCCCAATCTAGTATTTTGGGAGAATTCGGAAGCTTGCTCGGGCTAGTTGACTTGCAGAGCATGTTTTTGGTGCGTAACGATGCACAATTCACCATCCAATCAGGTCAGTGCCCTTTCGTGCATCACCGCTCTCCTCTCATCATCGCGCCTCTATCCTACTCCTCTTTTCCACCATTAGGTGAACGCTGCCCTCGTGGAGGCTCTTCAGAAGGGCACGAGCTTCGGCGCGCCGTGCGTGCTGGAGAACGAGCTGGCGGAGATGGTGATCGCCGCCGTGCCCAGCATCGAGATGGTGCGCTTCGTCAACTCGGGCACTGAGGCCTGCATGGGCATGCTCCGCCTCGCGCGTGCCTACACCGGCCGCGACAAGATCATCAAGTTTGACGGCTGCTACCACGGCCACGCCGACAGCTTCCTCGTCCAGGTACCGTACCGTGTTGAACCGTACTGAACCTTTACATTATGATGTGGCCGCACTTTTATTCCTGCTGTGGCGTACTCTCGACAGTGTCGGGTGCGCTGCGTTAACTGCATGGATTATCCGGATATGGACGCTCTGTACGTCTTTGCATTTCTAACGGGGTATAGTGCACTGTTTACAACTGATTCCTATTACCAAGGACTATTCTGCATGTTAATCTCTAACACAATTCTTTCACCTTGCATTTCTCACATGAGGTACGATAGAAATCAATCTCTGTAATTCTGAACCATTCCCTCGCGTTTCGCCAGGCCGGCAGCGGTGTCGCCACCCTGGGCCTGCCCGACTCTCCCGGTGTTCCCAAGTCAGCCACCGCCCCCACGCTCGTGGCGCCCTACAACGACCTGGACGCCGTGAAGAAGGTACGCCCAATGCTGCTGCTGCTGCCGATACTGCTGTGGTGTGGTGTGGTGTGGTGGTAATCAGGTAGAATCGCTGGTGGTTAGATCGGCTTTCATTTTCGTTTGTCATTCATTCTCTCCTGCGTTGTTGATACCATTGGTACAGCCTGAACCTTTGGGGCTTCACAGCGATGGTCCAAACCCTAGTCCAAATAGGCGTTGTCCCGAGCGCTATGTAACCTCTGTTTCGCCTCCACATTTCCCTCCCTTTTCACACACTGCGCGCGCAGCTGTTCGCGGACAACAAGAACGAGATCGCGGCCGTTGTGCTCGAGCCCGTCGTCGGCAACTCCGGCTTCATCGTCCCCAAGAAGTGAGTCGCCGCTTTCGAGAGTGCATCGCTATCGCGCGGTGTCCTCGGCTGGCGCAACTGACGCAACTGGCGCAACTGACCCCGTCGCCTCGCCCTTCCATTTGACACTTTTACCCGATCCTTTTTTTTTTTTTTTTTTTTTTTATAGGCGACAATCTGGCTTCTTCCACGTACTGTACTCTCCTCTGTACAAATCAACTCACTGTACTCCTCTTGTACTGTACTCTCTCCACCCGTGGTGTCTGATCTGATCCGCGCAGGGAGTTCCTGGAGGGGCTGCGCCAGATCACCAAGGACGAGGGCGCGCTGCTGGTGTTTGACGAGGTCATGACTGGCTTCCGTATCGCGTACGGTGGCGCGCAGCAGCACTGGGGCATCACCCCTGACATCACCACCCTCGGCAAGATCATTGGGTGCGTGCGCTTGCTTGCGTCTGCTTCTCTTCCCTTAACAATCACTTGAACGATCACCTTACCCGACATCACTACCCTCCCTTGTCTCCACTCTCCACTCCCTCTAGTTTTGGATCTCGAACGATCACAGCTCCCTAGCCTGGCTTTTGATCCCTCTAGTTCCGCGTTCCTTTTCAAATTTCTGTCGAGGCGCCGTTTCTCTAGTTTTTTTTCTTGCGGATTCAGTGCTGCATTCAATGTAAACAAACGCCTGAAAAAGCTGTTTCCACATCAAGCAGCCCTGTTTCCTTTGGTACCCTGCACTGGAGAACCGGGCTCCCATTCCACCACAGCCCCCCTTGCCACATCCCCACACCACCATACTCAACCTTCTCCCTCCATTTCCCTCTCCCCCGACTCCTCTCCATCCTCCCTTCCCCACACCCCCACCCATCCCATCCTCCGTACCCGCTTCCGCTTCCCTCCCTCCAGTGGCGGTCTCCCCGTGGGGGCGTACGGTGGGCGTCGTGACATCATGGAGATGGTGGTCCCGGCAGGCCCCATGTACCAGGCGGGGCGGGCACGCTCAGTGGCAACCCCCTGGCCATGACGTCCCCTTGGCACGCTGAGTGGGCTTCAAGTCCTTGGAGCGCCTGATTCTTGAAAATACTCAAATGTCTCTCCCTCTTGCTGCTTCCCCTCCCTCCCTCCCTCCTCCTTCCCTCCAGTGGCGGTCTCCCCGTGGGAGCATACGGTGGGCGCCGGGACATCATGGAGATGGTGGCGCCTGCAGGCCCCATGTACCAGGCGGGCACGCTCAGTGGCAACCCCCTGGCCATGACGGCAGGCATCAAGACCCTGGAGCGCCTGCAGAAGCCCGGCACGTATGAGTACCTGGACAAGGTCACTGGCCGCCTCATCAACGGGCTGCTCGATGCTGCCAGGTGCGTGGCTAGGAGGGTGGGTAGCTTGTGGGGGTGTGGGGTGAAGCGGTGTTAGTAGTGCGGGAGCGGGGATTGTTGTGGTGGGGGTGTGGGGATTGTATTGTGGAGCTTTTGAGGAGGGTTGGACGAACCTGAGTTGGTGATGGTGGTGACTGGAGGTAGGAGTGGTTGGGTGTTGGAGTGGGAGCATACTGTTCAGGGAGGATTTATCACCCATGTTTGAAGTGCAATTTAGGAATTCTACATATATTGACGGTTCCCTCTGCCTCTCTCGTGTTACGTTGTGATTACAGGGAGGCGGGTCACGAGGTGTGTGGCGGGCACATCAACGGCATGTTCGGCTTTTTCTTCACCAAGGGTCCCGTGTTCAGCTTTGCGGACGCCAAGCAGTCGGACACAGCCAAGTTCGGCCGCTTCCACCGCGCCATGCTCAAGCGCGGGGTCTACCTCGCTCCCTCGCAGTACGAGGCGGGTTTCACGGGTCTGTGCCACACAGAGGAGGACATTGACTTCACCATTGCTGCTGCCAAGGAGGCCTTCAGGGAAATCTAGAGTGGTTTGAAGGTGCTGGTTTGGAGCTGTTATGGATTGTTGAACCCTTTTTTGTAGTGTAGATTCTCTTGCGTGTATGCAACTTGTCAACAAGAAAATGAGTTAAATGGTTTAATCATGTTACAAGAGAATAAAAAAACACCTTGAAATTTTGGTACTTCCTGAAAGATGTTAGCAGCAAGGGGTTCTATGAAAATTGCCCTTTTCCTGCCATACTTGCAGATGTAATGTCAGCGCACACATAAATTCGCCATACCGTACTTGGCAAGGTTGGGATGCACTTTGGCAGGAAAGGGATGTTATGTATACCCCTCTTTGTATGTCCTCACACGCGCCTGCCATCGCGCCTTCCGCTGCACCTGCCCACCGCCCCTGCTGCCGCGCGTGCTGCCGCATCTGTTGATGTTACCGCGTCTACCGCTGCTACCCGCCGCCGCGCCTGAAGCTGATGCACGTCGCCGCACCTGCAGCAGCGGCTACCGCGGACGCGTCGTTGCGCCGCCTGCTGTGCCGCCTGCTGTCTGTCAACCTACCTTCGACTGGCTCCTCCTCTGCGGCTCTGCCTCTGGCTGTCCCCTCTGATTCGCTGCAGCTGTCCCCCTGCTCACTCCAGTCATGGCGTATGAGTTCGCACTACTACGCGATGCGGAGGGGCGGGCGATTGGCTTTTATGCGTGGCTGCTCGACGTCTCCTTGTACGCCCACGTGTCGAGTGAGCTACCTGCCTCTCAGCGTCCTCTCGCCCTTCTAGCTTCTGCAATGCTTCCTGCATTGCTAACCAACTTGCTAAGCACACCCCCCCCCCCCCCCATGTATCACACCATGCACTTCCTTGCAATCTGCCTCCCTGATTGCCTCGCGCCTGCCGGCGAGGCGCTCCTCGCCATGCACCCCATGAGCCTCACTATCGATTTCTTTGAGATTCGTTTCACTGAGATCGAGACCCGGCTTAGCACCATCACCTCCACCACTGGTGCAGTAGTCCTCGCCTACTGCTACAGCGGAGGTCGCATCTTTCTCTGCCCCCTCAGGTGGGCGGGAATGGCGCAGGGGTGGTCGTGGTCGTGGAGGAGGTGGAGGTGCTGGTACATCGAAGGATGCACGTACGTCTGAGGGTACCGGCTCTGCTCCCGGTCAGCGCGGTGGTGCTAGTGCCGACGCGGGTGCGACGTTGACTCCGCAATAGCAACGGTCATAGCAACAGTCGCAGTAGCTGCAGCTTCAGTAATTGGTCTCTTAGCGGTAGTGGGGACCAGCTAGCCTGGGGAGTAGTGGCCGCGGAGGCAGATGTGATAGCTAGGCGTCGCGTGACCTCTCTCCAGGGCCCTGCCAGCACCAGATTCGGTCTAGTCCGCTAGGTTGCACCTGTCAAACTATGTTTATATTTGTGTTAGATATGCTAGGCTATACAGGGGTACATCTTAGGGGGTACAACACATTTCTCGACACTCACACTTATATCCCACTTTCTCCTAGTGACATCACTACCGCTTGGATCTCTCCTTGTTCCCCTAGAGCTCGTCCTTCGTCTCCTGTTCGGGACCTCCGGTCTGTTTTCTGGTGGCCTAGCCCTGCTCGTTCTCTACCTCCGTCTGTCCTCCCATTGGCTTACGCGCTATCTCCTCTCTCGAGACAGACCTTACTGCCTCTTCATCGTCCGTCGCGACTCTTGTTGCCGCGGTCACTGACTTTGCCGCCACCCGCCCCCTTGACTACGCCACCCGCTTGCGGCTGCTCCTCATACCCGTCCTCTGTTCGCCGGGGGTGAGTCTGCCCTTGGCTGTAACGTCCTAGAGGATGGGCAGTTTGAGCTTGGGTTCCTTGCAGCCCCTTCTCCCCATCTCTGTGCCATGCTGCTAGCCCCTGAGGGAGACCCTGACTCCAGACATCCCGACTCCGCGTACTTACACTGAGGCGGTGTCGGGACCGTGGGCCTCTCAGTGGATAGCAGCCATGGACTTAGAGATGGCGTCTTGGAGATCCACAAGCACTTATGTCGTCGCATTTCCCTCTCCCCGGGCGAACGTAGTCGATGACATGTGGATCTTCAAGGTGAAGTGGCCGCCTGAATCGCCGCCTGTCTTCAAGGCGCGCTACATGGCGAGGGGCTTCAGTCAGCGTGAGGGAGCAGACTTCTTCCAGACCTTCTTCCCCACCCTGTAGATGGCTACTCTTCGGGTGCCAGTACACGTCGCAGCACAGTGAGATTACAAGCTGCACTCACTAGACTTCTCCACTGTCATTCTTCAGGACAGCTTGCACGAAGAGATTTGGCTACGCCGTCCTCCTGGCTTCACTAGTACTTTCCCACCTGGGACCCAATGGAGCCTGAGACGACTAGTCTACGGACTGCGCCAGGCAACTCGTAGTGGCACGACACCCTGTGCACCACTCTTGCTGACATCGGGGTCCGTCCCTCGTCCGCCGACCGTCCATGCATTCTGGCCCCACTCCTTTCTTCGTCCTCGCCTATGTCGACGACCTGGTTTTCGCTACCACAAACAGAGCAACCCTGGCTTCAGTGAAGTCCAAACTGCAGGAGAGACATTGCACTGACCTTGGTGAACTGCACAACTACCTTGGCTTGCAGATCACCAGGGACAGAGCCGCTCACACCATCACTCTAACTCTGTCACACATGGTGGCACAGGTCCTTCAGCGGTTTGAGCTTCGGTTTTCCACCACATAGCCCACTCCTCTCACTGTTGTCCACAGACCCTCTGCTCCTGTTCCTGACGAGCCGGCTGAGCTGACTGGTCCTTACGCAGAGCTCGTGGGTTGCCGCATGTACCTGATGACGTGCACTCGTCTAGACCTCACCTATCCTCTCAGCGTCATGCCTCGCTTTGTTGCGATTGGGAGACACCGTCTTGTTCACTGGACGGCTGCTAAGAGGGTAGCGAAGTACCTAACTACGACATCGGCATGGGGCTTGTGCTTGGAGGGACACAGCCAGTTCGGCTTAGCCAGGTCGACTCAGGTGTATTGTTTCAGCTTGGGTTCTTGAGTTGTGTCGTGGAGGTCCACTCAGTCGTCGCCGTCGTCGTCGTCGTAAGTGGCGTAGTCTAGTGCTGATGCAGGGATCTACGCCGGTGCCATGGCTGCTCAAGAGCTCCGGTGGCTGACTTTCTTGCTCACTGACCAAGGTGAGTAGCCTAGCTCTGCACTGACCTTGTTACAACAAGGTCATCGACTGGAGGGCAGAGTGAAGCACATCGACTTGCGGTACTTGTTCTTGCTCACTGACCTTGTTCTTGCTCACTGCCCAAGGTGAGAGCCTCGACTGGAGAGCAGAGTGAAGCACATCGACTTGCGGTACTTCCTTCGATGCGGCCAGGCACACTTGGTCTTTGTGGCCTCAACGGCCAATACTGCACACATCTTCATCAAGGCTCTCCCGTGGGTTCTGCTCATAACTTGGCCTTGTTCAGACATGCCCTGGTTTGTTGTATACTTGTCTCTTGTTCCTTGTTTTGGTTGCTTCACTATTATATATATTTGTGAACCATTGAACTGGCCTTGTGGCCGATCGTCTCATAAATTGGCCAGTTGTACCACACTGAGTTGCTTGCCTTGCCTTGTTGTTTGTCTTGACTGGTCTTGTGACCGTTTGCTTCCCTTGCTCGTTTTGATGCCCCTCACTTAGCATATGGGGGTGTGTCAAAGTATGTTAATATTTGTTGTTCGATATAGGCTATAGTGGGGTATATAATTATGCGATAATGAATTAAGTGAAGTACATTCCTGTACGTAAGAGGAAGCCAAGTAGTACCGAGTACGAAGCCGAGGAATCAGGCAAGTCGAAGTGACGGAAACAGTTGTCAGATGAAGACTGATGCAGGCAGAAGCATTTGAATTGGAAATGGCGGGAACAGGTTTGAAACGAGTTCCCGCGCCGCACGGTTGGATTTCAATGTAATAAGGGAATGTACCCAATAGAGTACATGGTTAGCTAGGCCCTTTTGTATTCCTTTGTATTCTTATATAAACCTATGTATGTCTTTGTTATAATCACTTCAGTCATTTTACATTCATTTCGACGAGGAGTCAATCACATCCGTTGCAATACATATGCGATCAACCCTGAGCACGATCCTAGCTAAGTCCCCCGTGGGATTGTAATATGGTATGAGAGCAAACCAGGGATTCTTCGCATCCCCACTTCCGAAAGTGGCGAGTGGCACACGCTCACGTGTCAGAATGGCCGGAGTGTGAAAGTAAGCAGTAGAAGAAGGCGCCATAGCTAGGAAAGCCCTAGCTAGGCAAGAAACAGTTTAGGCAAAGAAGGAGAGGTTGCACTAGCAAGAATGAGGATACAAATAGCAAACCCTAGAAGGGCTGTACTCGCTATAGAGCACCCCACTACAGGCTAGAGCATAATATTCTGACACACCCCCATAGCCAAAGTGGGGTGTAATCAGCAGAGCAAGCAAAGCAGAACAAGCTCAGGGTGGATCACAATGTCACCACACATTCTGAGCACAAGTTCAGGAAGCAATAGTTTAAAGTTCACAATTATGAGCAAAGCTAGTGGTAGTCACAACGGGCAAGTGAGGAGGAGGAGGGACAGTGAGAGGAGAGGAGATAGGAGGCGACGGCTGAAGCTGCAGACACACGGGCAACAGGAGGCACACTGGCACAGCGGCTACCGGAACAGCGCTCCGGACTACTGGAGTAACTGGCCCCGCGGCTAAAAGTAGCGGCAGACGAGCAACGGACCCACGGGCGACTGGCACAGGTGGCTACGACTGGGCTACCGGAGCAACTCCCCGGACTACAGGTGCTGCTGGCGACACGACGGCAACCTCCGTTCAACCTCCCCCAAACAGTACCACCCCCCCTGACACACACCCCCTGCTTCACCCCTAGCTCCACTCCCCCTTCACCCTCCCTTAGTACCACTCCGACGGCTCCAACAGGTCCACCCCCCCTCAGCGGCAGCTGCAGCACAGGGAGACGGAGGAGGAGGAGGAGCAGGGAACGGCACACAGAAGCTGCAC